GGGGGGGGGGCTGCTGCGGGGGGCGGTGCCCGCCGTGGCCGCTTGCGTCGCCCCGCCTGGCGGGCCGCGGCGCGTTGGCAGCGGAAGCCCGCGCCCGCCGCTCGGGCCGGCCAGGCCCCGGCGCCGCCGCTCCCCGTCTCCATGCCGCCCCCTCGGCGCTGCTCTGCGCGGCCAAGGCAGGCCCCGGAGGGGGCTCCGAGTGTGCGCGCAGCCTTTGCTTTCCTGGGCCTGTGGAAGCGGAAGTGCCGGGAAATTTGCACCAGTTTCGTTTCCACTTTATTGCTCTCTTGAAATTTGGACTCAGATTTACTTCTGAGATTTACTTCAGGTTTACTTCTCTGTCGTGAGGTTTGTGCAATTTTCCCTGTTTTTCTGTTCTGCCTTGCAACTTGTGTGGGCGCTGGGCTTGAGCGCAGCAGTTGCAATGACTACTGCTCATTTCCTCTATTAACATTTGGCCTACTTTGGCAAAGAAAGGGTTTGCCTTCCGTAAGGAAGACAACATATATACCTGCCCAGCTGCTAAGATCTGGAGCAGAGGTCCTTCTTCCGGAGCCCTCTTTGAGGGAGAGCAGAAGCGTGGCTATCTGGAGAGGGGGCTTCTCTGCCGTGACCTGTGGAATGGGCTCTTAAGAAAGGTGTGGCTGGTGCCAATGCTTTTTTTCATTTAGGCCCTAGGCCAAAAACTTTTTATTTTCCCAGGATTTTAAATGTTACTATTGTTTGTAACATTGATGATATATATTATTGTGAAGCTGTGTCTCATTTATGTTATCACCGCCCTGAGAAACTGTGAAGGGCAGGATACAAAAATTTAAAACAAACATCTTGCAGTAGAAGCCAGCAGCAAAATGCTTCCGGAACCCATGTTGCTTCTTCCCAGTGGAGGCACAGTCAGTTGAGCAAGGCATTTTGCTGCATGGCCCCAAGCACCTTTGGAAGAGAGGTAACCGGGCAGGGGGGACAGCTTACGATCGGGGTTGTCTGGGAAAAGAAGCCTGAGATATTTTTCCTAACATTTAGGACTATGTTTGAGGATCAAACTTCAGAGATGCTTGCCTTTTAAACACAAGGTATGTCATTCAGACACTTTACATTTCTAACTAGAACTATTCTGTATGTTGAACCTGTGCGTTCACAAGTCACAGATGCACATTTCCCACCCACCTCTCGCCCAAAATAGAGTTTTTTTTTTTTTTTAAGGAGGATACTTGAGGGTGTAAACATTAAAGAGTTGTTCATGGTTTCTTTTGCTCATACCAAACATGGGCTTGAAAGAGGCAGCCAGAAGTAAAGCCAAGCTTGTTACTGCTGGGGAGCCATTTTTGTACGTGCTCCTTTGGTTGGCATGAAGAACCAGGAGCACGCGTTGGCTCCAGGGATGGGGTTCTGGTCCAGAGAAGGGAGACTGAGCATCTTGTTTGAGCATGTGTTCTGCACTGCTGTGCTGTGAGAACAAAGCATTTCTCACCAACCATTTTCTGTCTCATCTAGCTGGAAATCTACATATCAGAGGGAGCGCATTCCACAGAGGAGGACAGTAAGTTTGTCTTCCAGTCATGTTTGAGTGTGACGTGCAATTAATGCAGCGAGTTGACTTCTGTGGGCTGGGCAATGCTGGAGACAGATTTTCCATCTTTAGGAGCCCCTTGCAACATACAAAGGGCTCAGTAAGGTTCCATCGGTAGCAGGTAAGTCCACAACAGCTAGTAATCTACAGACAAGTTACTAGCCTGTTATGCATAAATATATTTGTTTCTGACCTATTTTATGTTGAAAGGGCAACATATAAACTAGTTACATAAATGGAAATTTAAAAAGGACTCCTGAACAAAATAATCCTTGATTTCAGATCCCTGGAAACGCAGGTTACAAGACTCCAAAGTTCTGCAATTACAGATGCTTTGAAAAGTGTGTTGCGGGAGGAGGGATATTTGAAGATGTGGTTTAAAAAAAAGTCTTCGTGTAAGTTCAGAGGAGTGGAAAGTAACCTATAGAAGAATTGTGCCATTGTTCACAATTGGCCAAGTTTTATGTTTTTATTGTTGAGGGGTTAAATTTATGCCTCTGGGGAATGTCCTGAACATTCTGTGTTACAAGGCGCTGCACTTGCCCTGTCAGGTGCTCTTCTGAGCTGGCTGTAAGAACCTGGTATCTTACAAACAGGAAGCCCTGCCAGCATAATTTTCTCATTTAGCAGAAAATAAGTGCTCTGTAACAGCTCAAGAACTTAAAATTTATTTTGCTGTCCTTTGGTAACCACCCTGCCGGACCTCTTTCCTCCACAAGCTTAATGCACTTCAAGAGACCCTGGCGCGTTTCTTCAGGCCATGAGTAACGTTCTCCTTGGTTGTTTTCCCACTGGCTTACAGTTAACAAGCAAATCAATGATAAGGAACGTGTAGCTGCTGCAATGGAGAATCCCAATTTGCGGGAGATTGTGGAGCAGTGTGTCCTGGAGGCTGACTAGCTGCTGTGACGGCCTCCAACTCGGGATTCACCTGGCACGTTTGAATTACCATCTTGGCAAAAATACAGAGGCCTTGACTACCAGGGAGATCTTTGTCGCGTCTACATATTTTAAAAGAATATTTTTATAGAAATGCATTTAATTACAAAGAGAGTAGACCATGTATAGTACCATGTGTGCTATAAAAAGTAATCTTGATTGAAAATTGATTTTATATGAAATTTACGAACCAGTCTGTTGCTGTCTCATGAATATGCCTTGTGCTTTTAAAATGGGATGTTGAATTAGATTTCCCACTTCAGATTGGTGGGGTGTTTTTGAATTGCTGCAGTGTGAAAAATGAATAAAATAAAGAGTTCTTGAATCTGGAGTTAGCTTGAACATCACTGGAACTTCCATATAGGTTAAAAGAAATAAAGATAAACCAACACGGATGGATGAAGAAAAATTACTGGAGCTGGCATTTTTGCAAATGAGAGAATAGGATTGCATTCTATTCCTATTGAATTTCCAGAGGGACAGTCGCATTAGTTCATTGTAGCAAAAACCACCAATGTTTATGGTGTGGAACACCTGCATCCTCGGCAGGAGAATAGCTGAGCTATTTCTAGCGATTTAGAGTTGGAGGATGGAGCCGCTTATGCAACTGGGGTGCCCACAAGCTGCAGTGCAAGGCCCTGGGACACGAGCAGGGAGGCGGTGGGACAGATCAGCCCAAAGGCGGATGGGGACGGCGATCGTGTGGATCCCGGGAACAGAGGGGAGTTGCAAGGCCCCAGCAGGGGCGCAGCGGGTGGGGTGAGCCCTGCCTGTTTTCGCGGCATGCTCGTTCCAGGGCTGGAACACAGATGGGTTCGTAAGGAGCGCTTTGGGAGAGAACAGGAAACGGTTCAACAAGCTGCTTTGTGTATGTTCAGAGACAGAGGTGAACAAAGATCATTAACTGGTTTGAGGCTGGTGCTTGTCAGAGGGAAACATACGGCTCGCCATGCGTGGCTCTTAAAAGACTAGCAAAGGCTTTGTGCCAGAAGCTTTCATGGATACGAGCCATTTCATCAGATGCAGGAAGTGTTACCTTTGAGCTGGCAGATTGCTACGCGCCAGTGCAGAAAGCAGTTATGGTGGCCATTCCCAAAACTTGCAGAACACAAGGCATTCTAGTTGCATGGAGGAACTGATTCTTCATGTGCAGCACGACTGAGGTCAGCAACATGGTGCCTGCACACACACACACTTCTGGGCATCTGCCAACCCCCTCTGCACATCTGGATGTTTTAAAGCATATTGTAAAACCTTAAAAGGCCTCTGAATGCCCCTTTCCCTTCCCCAGAAATCTCTTGGGCATCAATGGAAAGGAAGATAGAACCAGGGGCAGGCTGGAGTTTTTGCTGTCTGACAGTCAAAAGCTGCTTTGGGGACTCAGGGAAAGTGGGTCAGAACTGGTGGGGGGACGGGCTAGAAAATCCAGTAGTTGGGAGCATCTAGAGAGCAACCATGGAGTGAGAGAGACGTGTGTTTATGTGTTGAGTGCCAGGGGTACATATCGCTGCACACTTTGTGCTGTAGTCTTTGTGGTTTGTCTCAGGGAGGGGACTCATTCTGGGAGGCTCAAGCTTCCTATTTTGGGTAAATAAAATTGGGGGAACTAAATTTTAGGGAAAAATAGAGTATGGAAAAGCATATGGGTAAAATAAGTGGATGTTGATAGCTTTTTGTTGCATTTTTCCCCCAGTTGATAGGTTTTTTTCCCAGTTACAAACATTTTATGATCAAAGAGCAAACACAAATCTATTACAAAAATCAACAAAACTATCACAAGGTTTGGCTTCAGACTATCTATACTACACTATTCAGTTTTCTTGGTTGCTATATTTTGTTACGCACCCATTGTAGGTCTCCAGCCAAGTGTAGATGTGGTTCCTCTTAGTGGAAAGCCTGCTTCCACAGGATCTTCCTTGTCTCGGCTTGGGCCATTACAATGAGGAAAAAAACCCTTCTAGACACTTCATATTTCTTTTGAAGCTCATGAATGGTAACCACAACGGAGGATGGGCATCTTAGTTGCAAAACAAGATGCTTTGAGAATTTTAAGGTAGGGCTGTCTTCGTTCTCTTGCATTTTGGGTCTCGTCTTGGTGTCTTTTACCTTCACATCACGGAAGGGACTTTTGGGTCCCTCGCAGGCCACAGTTTGGTGGTTGAGTTCCCAGCTTCCGGCTGCTGAAGTGTGGTCCAAGTCTGAGCCTGGGAACTTGAGAGCGGATCACTAACTGATTTGCAGTGGGAAGGGCTGGTGCAGGTTGGCGCATCTGGCATTTCACAGCTGCATCAGTTGCCAGGAGAAGTTGGAATGGATCCTTCCAGGGGAGATCAAGGGAATGTTTCTTCTAAAGAGCTTCTATATCAACTCAGTTGCCTGCTTGGGTGGAATGACGAGACTCGCCGGGTTCTGTAGGAAGTGCAGCGCATCCCTGTGAATGAAAACCTTTCACGCATTTTGCTACAGCTTTGTTGTAATTAATATGCCAAATGAATGTCCTGAGGAGGCATTTTGTTGGGGAAGGAGGTGGGAGTCTCACTGAAAGTAGATTCTTGTTAGCTTAGTCTGGAGAGTTCTGTTTTGTTGTGCTGCCATCCCAACAGATGCACAGTGGTAAAGAGCAATGGAAATGTCACCAGATGTGGCATGTGTCACAGGCTCGCTGCAAGATTCATCTAGAGGAATCTGCACGGAGGTCTTGTCTTAGCGGAAAGTTTATAGGTTACCTCTGATAGCCATCGTCTTTTCTTGGGACACGACCAAAGCTGGGAAGAAGGCATTTGGTATCATAAACTGCTGTGTTGCAACTTCTACTGTGTTTTAAGTCTGCAGATTTCAAAATACTAACAGCAAAGGACGTGTCTTGCTCCCTCCCCCAACAAAAAAACTCAGTTCACTGAAAGATCTTTGGCCTTTTGTATGTTTGGCTTCGTGATAAACAGGAGTTTAAGCCAATTTTCTTCTGCAAGAAGTTCCTTGCATTTTCCCTGCCTTTTTAAAAGTTCAAACGATAAAGCCTTTCTGAAGATTTCCCTTTTACATCGGTGGTTTTTAGAGCTAACGTTCATTTGCGATATGATGAAGGCTTTCACCTTTCCGGTGCTGGTGCAGAAGTGCCTTCCCAAAGCAGTCAGCAGATGGAGTTGGCGTGCCTCTTGCGCTAGGAAGGAGAGGCAGAAAAGCTTCTCCAGATGGTGGTAAAAGCCTGGGGTTTGGCTTGCCCTTTCTGAAATACCTGTCCGATGAGTCAATTCCTCTGACAATGCACCATGCCATAATTTTGGATACCGCATCTCTAGTGATATTCCGTTTGGAGACCTAGCCAAGTCAGCTGCAGCGGACATAAAAGAGGGCGGTTTCATTACACAAGCGCCGTTGGTTCCCACTTCAGGACCATTCCCTGCTTTGCACTGCTGCCGGGCCATCCTACCTCCTTGTCCTCTTCATGTGAAAACAAGCGCTCCTTCTCACACCCTCCGACACAGGTGTGAGAACATGAATGTCAGAAACCCTGGGAGGTTTAATGTACCTTCCCCAAAAGCCTTGTTTTGATGGGGTTTTCCTGATAGGAGCAGAAGCTGGTTTTAGGGGCTTATTGCAGCGTTTCCCCTCGGATGCTGTCACAGGGCCCTTGTCCTTCCCTCCGCTGTGTTTACATGTTTGAGAACTCTGTGGCTCCTTCTGTGAGGTGGTGGCACAGAGCAGGGACTAGCCCTGGGGCTCGCTGTGCTGTCAGCTCACGCAGTGCACATTCTCCGATCGCATGTGCCAGCATTACAGGCTCGAGATGAAAAGCGCACGTTGGATCTGCAGCCAGCGAGGCGAGGCGCATCGGAGCACGTCCGCTAATTGCAGGCCATACTGTCTCGAGATAGAAATCAGGCGAGTTGCTTTCATTAGGCCAGGCTTTAGCTGGCCACCGCCGGCGAGCGAGCGATCTGTGCCAAGGGAGCCCCAGGCCCCCACTGTCCCACAGCATGCCAGGTGACCCGCAGCGTGAGTGGGGCTGGGTACTAGCTGGGGCAGACCATGGCTGCCAGGAAGTCCGGCAAGGGGGCTCAGCATGCACAGACCGAGTCCTGCGTGGCCGCCAGCTTCCCCTTTGCTGACCTGGCGCTCCGCAGCCGACACCTCTGTCCCAGGGAGCTCCCACCTGGGCTGCTCAGGCCCCTTGCACGGGAGCCGCCAAGTCCCCTGGAAGAGGTCTCTTGGAGAGGATGCCAAGCCAGGGCTCTGGCCCAAGAGGCGGCAGTGGTTCCTGGCCACAGAAAGCCGCTGGGTCGGCCACAGCAGGCAGTGGCCGGGTTCCCACGTCACGGCAGGCCATACCGCACGGTTTCCACTGCACAGGTAATTCGTGCGGGTGGCCTGGAAAGAAAACCAGGCTCGGCCCGGTACCTCTGCTGTCCGTTTGCTTCCCTCTCGACCCTCCAGGGGGAATCCCCGGACGCACACGGGGAGGAACGAGGCTCCTCTGACAGCCGTGTTTGTGAGCCGAGTTCGGATCACTGCAGCTGCCAGACTCCTCTTTGCTGTCCCTGGTCGTTCGGCTGCCCAGCTAGGAGCCAGGAAGTAGCAAGTTTGGATGGCACAACCAGTGGAACCATCTCCTTCCCATCCCCAAAGAAATGGGCGTGGCTTCACGAAACTTTGTTCGGGACAGCGAGTGCTCCTCATGTTGAGCACAAAAGGGAACGGCAGAGGCGCTGTAGGTCGTTGGGATTATTTGGTTCTGCCACAGTACCACTAGATCTCTCCCGCTTTGCAGGCCGCTCGTCTGGACGGTGCTCAAGCGTGGGTGAGGCCCTTCGGTGGATCGCAGCTGTGCTAAACGAAGCGGGTCACAGACGAGGCTGCAGCGGGACAGGAATCGCAACAAGAGCGAGCACGGCTGTGTAACAGCAATTTAATTTAACACACTTGAGAGCTACAGCCATTAAACAGAATCAAAATTAGGACAATACATTTCTGTTGTATCTTCTTGGGAAAAGATTTTTTTTAAATCTTCTGTATTTGAGATGATAACTTTTTGCATGCACACTTAAGTATTTCTCTTGCTGGAGACAGTCTTTATCTGGCTCTGACGTACAACCGAGGCGTACCACACTCTTTGTTGAGAAATGGTTTTACCTAGCACACATCAAGAGCAATTTTAAAAGATTTGGGAGAAATGTAACTTTGAGACAGAGGAGCCACAAAGCAGTAAGATCTATAACATTTAACTGAGTTTGCTGAAGGACGGACAGATTGTAGCCTCAGTCTTTTAATTTTTGGTCATCCTGCTCTTAGCCTGGATAATACATGCAGTAAGAAAGTTTAATTACACAAACAAAGGACTTAAATGCAGTACAAAGTCCTCTGAGCCATTATCAATGGAGGTCAAAAGCAAAGAACCATTCTATGAGAGTGCGTGTTTGTGGATGTTGCTATGGGTGAACTGTGTTGGAACCGCAGCGTCATGAAAGTCCCTGGGTCACGGAAAAAAAGTGATCTTGACAGTCGTGGGCATTCAGTGGGTGATGATGGTAGCCTGGTGAAAAGTGGCTGACTGGAGATTCAGACCTTGTGACCAGGAAAAACACAGCGTGCGCCACGGAGTTTGCACTCACGGGACTCCTGCTGGCACCCAGTTTAGGCCCGAGTTAAACTCTGCCTGCCACAGACTTGGTCCCCGCGGCTGGCAGTTCGCAGCCAGCCTGAAATGAGGGAGTGGTGATGCTAGCTCGCTCCTTTAAGCTCTTCATGCCAACAAGAAGCAAAATAGTCGCAATCACAACAATGCAACCAGGTGATCAGACACTCGTAGCACTGTCAGGAAGGCTGGATGTTCACTCTTGTAAAATATAAAAATAACGGTTTTGATTATTATTGTTTAAAAATTGCCTAGGCAAGAGTTCCGTGCTGGCCTGCCAACACCTAGTTAACCCTGAACAGGAGCCTTGTGGTAGCACCGGAGACCTTTCTGAGATCACCTCTGGATTATTGCTGTCGTGTGGTCGTGCCGTCTTCCCCCATCAGGTTTCTTCTGTAGGACATTGCGGGTGACCGTGCATGCAGGGAAAGATCCCTCCGAGAGACGTCAGCTCCCCTCTGGAAGCCTGGAGAGGCCTGCAGTCACGCGCCACAAACGGCAAAACGTCCGCTTGCTGAAGAGCAAACGTGCGGGGACCTGGAGGAGGGAGGGAGCGACTGACCAGGGCAGGCCCTTCCCTCGAGGCCCCCAGCCCGTCCTCCTCGGGTGGTCCTCGGGACCGGGAGCACTCACTTCCGGGAGGCGCGCTGGTTGCCACGCTCCGGGTGGCCGGGGCCATGCTGGTGGCAGGTCTGGCAGCACTGGATGCGGACCGTTGGGAGGTGGCACCTCCCCAGCAGCAGCAGGGTCTGGCAGAAGCCGAAGGAAAGCCGGTTGCGCTCGCAGACGAAGCCTGAGGGAGGAAGGGGGCAGTCACCCGGCCTGGAACCTGCTCCCTCTCCTCGCCCTTTCCCCTGCACCGCGACAGCCCCCTCCCCGAAGCCCTGCACGAGGAGGCACAGGTGTTCTGCAAGGCCGCAAGCCAGAGATGGGGACTCCCCTGGTACAGCCTGCTGGCCTTGCGTCAAGCAGACCGGCACTGATGGCTGGAGGTGGCGGCCCCCAAAAAGGGAGGCCTGGGTCCCTCCGCACAGCCTGGAGACACAAGCTCTTCCTGCCCTCCCTGCAGGCAGTGTGACTGGCTCTGGGGATGGAGCTTAGCGCCAGGCCCTGGCACTGAGAAGCTGAGAACCAGCAAGCCACCCCCCGCCCTGCTCCTGGCACAGAAAGAATAGCACTCGGGGGGGGGGCAAACGGGGTGCCTCGGGGCAGAGGGAGGGGCCGCGGTGCTAGTGAGCCTGGGGGAGCACCGGTGTCCTCCCTCCTTCACTCCCTGCCCAACAGCCCAGCTGGGTGGGGGAGGAGCCTGCTGCGCAAACCGCGCCGGGGGGCTCGCCCCGCTCTGCACTGGCTGCCTGTCAGCAGCGGAGTCCAGGGGCGCGCAGGCATCCCCACGGGAGTGCACCCCCGAGCACGGCCCTTCCCCAGCGCTCCTGCGCACCCCATCCTGCAGGCAGGCGGCGATCGTTCGTTCATTTAAAATTTTTATGCCGCCCAATACTAAAGTCTCTGGACTGCTTACAAAAACCACAAAAACCAAAACTACCATATGCAACAAACAACACACTGCATCCGATAAAAAATGATAAAATCAAAGCTAAAACCGATTAACTGTCAAGATATTGGGAAAATAAAAAGGGAATCGGGAGGACTTTAGCAAAGCTTCTGCCAGCTCCAACACCTGCTGGCACGCTCCCGGCACGGGCGCACGTGAGGTGCCCACCCCACGCCAGCACCTTCCAGAATGGACTCCTGTGCTGAGGCGGCGGTAGGACCCCCGGCCAAACCGCCCCTCCTGACTCCAGGAGCCTGCCATTTCTGCCAGGGAAGGAAAGGCAGGCTCTAGGGGCCGCGACTGCCCTGGGCAAGCCCCTTTCTTCCGGCACGCCGTAAAGATGCAGAAGAGCAAAGGCGGGAGAGGTGAGGAAGCCCCCACCCCGGCCAGAGCCGGCCCAGCACCACGGTCCCGGCAAACCATCTGTCAAAAGAGGAGTCCGCGGGTGCGGCTTAGCAGCTCCGAGCCAAAGCGGGGAGGGAGAGGTGGAGCTGGCAAGCGGGGCCTTCCTGGGCAGCTCTCCAGTTCCACTACTACAAGATCCTGCCTTAAAGCGAAAATCAGCTGCCTCCCACCCACAACCACATGCGGATGTTGCAGTATGTCCAGGCGTTTCCACGAGGATTCCTCCGGGGAAGAAGAGCCGTGGCTTGGCACTGGCTCTTCCCCCTCGGCCCAGAAGCAGAACGGCAGAGCCGGCCAGGAGGGTGGGGGTGGGGGTGGGGGTAGCTGCTTCCTCCCCGACGGTTACCATCAGCCCCTGCACAGATCGTGTCCTGAAGGCACCACAGAGAATGGGAGGGGAAAGAAGGCGCCTCTGGGAACGCTCCCAACGGAGCCGGGGGGAGCCGGGGACTCCTCCGCAGACGAGGCGTGTTGGAGGGGCTGCAGCCCGCCCTGCCCGTCACAGCCGCTGGGAGTCTTCGCTGGCGGAAGACCTTCCTCTCCTGCACACAGCAGCGAGTGCCTCGTCGGCCCACGGACGGCAGAGCTCCTTCCCACCCCTCAGCATGCGCAAAGGCTGCAGGGGCTCAAGCGATCCCGAGACACCGTGGGTGGCAGAGGCCGAGCCAACCTGCCTTCATGCCGCAGCCCGGCCCGTGCGTGTGCCTCTGGTCCTCCCGGGGGGGGGGTGCTTCTCCGGGGGCCTTGTTGGCTCCGCAAGACGCGTCCCTGGGAGGACGCGTTCCCGGAGGGACCCCACCGTGGCATGCAGGACCCACGGCCTTCCCCAGCAGGGCACCTTCCCACAGCCTCATTACTGGGCTGGATGTCCACCCACATGCAACAGGTCCCTGTTCTCTCGCACACGCCACCGAGGGGCGCATTTCACGAAAGGCGCACACCACTGGTGGACCGGGGGGGGGGCGTTATGTGGGGCCAACGGGCGATTCCGTGCCAGCGGTACGAACAAGCCAGCTTCACGCCCTGGGGTCAATTTCACGCTGCACGTGAGCCAGAGCCAGCCCGGCATTTCCGACACACTCCAGCTGGAGGAAGCCAGCAGGCTGCAGCTGCTCCGCGGCCCCCCTTCCTCCCCACACAATTCCTTCCCGACATTCTGAGTTCCTGCGTTTCCATTAGCTTTCCAGCCCTGATAAGGAGCAGGGTTATTAATAGGCCGTCTTTTGTGCAGAAAGTCATGGCTCCGTTTCCCTTTTCCAAAGTGAGGCAGGAGGCTCACCCCTCACGACCAGGCCGGCTTTGAAGCGAGAGGCAGGAAGGAGACGCAAGGCCTGCCCAGAGACAGTCAAGGCCCGCCGTCCTTCCCCTTTCCTCCCAATCTGAAATATTTCTCACCTAAGACAAGGGCCCATCCCAACCCACCCTCTGGGCCAAAGGAGACTCATCCGCAGTCAGGACTTCCAGCATTTTCCTTTTGGAAAGCCACAACCGACCAGGAAATGGACTTGGGCTCTGGCACTAGGGCGGGGGGCTTAAAACCTTCACCCTACACGCTTTCCCCCAGTTACAACTATTCTGTCCCCAGGTCGGTTTGCCACGGGGGGGGGGGCAAAGGGGCAGGGCAGTGGGGAGCGGAGGCGTGTCGCGTTCCCATGGGGAATCGGTAGCTGAGTCGGGAGGCTTGCTCGGAAACCAGGGCCGAGGAGAACGCTGAGCCCGCTCCCCACTGCAGCAGTTCTGATCCGAACACGGTCCTGATTGGGGTGGGGGGCCTGGAAGTGTTCTTTTGGGATGGTTCTCTGGCCGGCTGGCCAGCTTGGTTTTTGTTGTGAGAAATAATTCCAAGAGAGGGTTGATTTGTGCGCTGTGGGAACTGAAAAAGTGTTCTCATTCATGAAAAGCCGACGAACGAAGGGAGAGAGACTCCGATGTTTTTTACGCCATGACTTCTTATGTGGGCGAGGGGGGGAGTTAAAGAACTTTTAAACTTTAGATGGCTTTTGAAGCCACAGGCAAGCTCTGTGGCCACCGTGCACTGCTCCCCCCGCCCCCCCCCCCAGCTGCGGGTGGCTGTTTTGCAGACGGCTTTTCCAGCACCCTCTGCAACAGCCTGTCTAAGTGCTGTGCAAGAGACAGGGAGGCAAGCCACTGGGGGAGGGGGGGCGTTATTTTTGGCTCTGGAGCTCAGCAGGAAATGCCTCGTTTCCCGCCTGGCCACAGACCAATCCAGGCCATTTTTAGGATTTAGCATCTGTCCCCACCAGCATGAGAGCTCCTCCAGAGCGTGATGGGAATAATCACAGCCCTGTAAATCAAGATTACAGCATGTTCACCCCCACTGGGTAAGAATGTCCGCTTTAGCTCCAGACCTAAATAAAGAGCATGCTTCCCTGGTTCACACAATACCCCGCACGGAGGACCTGCGCTCACACGTACACGTCATCCTGATCCAGGAAAGGGCTCAGCTGTGTGTCCGGGAGGTCTCTGGCCCCCCTGCCAGCATTCCCAGGGAAGGCAGGGCCAGGCAGCTTCTGCGGCCCCGTCCCTCACCAGCAGCTTGCAGCTGCACCCCCAGGGTGCTCCGAGCCCTCCACAGCCGCAGCCACAGCCCTGACCTACCTGGGGACTCCGGACCGAGCAGCATGGGAGGTCCCGGGCCTGCTGGAGAGGAGCAAGCCCAGCCACCCGGGGGTCTTTCCAGGCAGGACCGGTCGCGTGCTGAGCGTTGCGGCCCTCCTTCCAAGGAAGGGTGCCTCTTAAAGGGCTGGGCTGGAGCCAGCGAATGCAGGGGCTGGTCTGCCTCGCTCCCCTCCCATGCCGCAGGCAAGCGGCCAGCCACTGAGAGAGCCAGTGAGGCTCGGCAGGGGACCCAGTCCTCCTCGGGGGGGGGGGTGACCCCCAGCCTCGCTCACTCTGATGGCCCCAATCTCGACCTGTGTTGGGCTTTGCCAGATGTAACCAGCGCTCAGCACGGCGCCTGCAGCAACCACTCCCGTGTTCTGCCCCCGGGAACAGGCCGCAGCCGCAGCCCAGCCAGAGCTTCCAGGAGCAGCAAAGTTTCCTAGCAGCCTTCAAGGCAGCCCACGCCTGAAGCATGTCGCACGGTTGGTGGAACAGACCCCTCCCCAGCAGGCAACGCTGATTCACGCGCCTCACCTGCGCAGACAAGCCCTGGCCACGGATCAGACCGGGGCTCCCGGGCTCAGGGCCGACCCTGGGAGCACCCCCTGGCCTGCCCGGGAGCTGCCACAGAGGCCAGCAAGATGCTCCCCATGGCGCCCCCAAGTGCCAGTGAGGCGCACAGCACCCGGCGCGGCCGGGCGGATCCTCTGAAAGGGGCCACCGCCCGCCCCTCGCTCCCCACTCACTCGGGTCGTCGTCGGCGCAGTCCTGAGGGTTGCATTTCTGGGTGCTCTCGGGCCACAGCTCGTGCCCGCACTGGCCGCTGTCCTCCTCGGCCTCGCCAGTCCGCGTGTTCACGCACTTCACCTGCCGCCTCTGGATGCCTCCCCCGCACGTGGCTGTGCACTGCCGGACACACAGAGCGCTCGGCGCCTCGCCCCACCTGGGGAAGGAGCTCCGCGGACGAGGAGCCCGCCACGGAAGGGCCGGCCCCCGCGCGCCCCCACACAGGCCGCTTACCTGTCCCCAGGAGCCCACGGTCCACTTGGTGCACGGGTGGGTGTTGCAGACGCGTGTGCTGTCAGGCCGCGCGGCTTCGTCGCATCTCCCGACCTCTGGGCAGGTGACCAGGCGCTCCTGCTCCCCTGCCCCGCACGGCTCGGAGCACTAGCCCGGAGGAGGCCGGCTGTCAGGGCGGCCGGCCAGCGGCATTCGCGGCCGGGGACGGGCCCGGCCCCTCGCGAGCCAAGCGGCAGCGCTCTCTCCCCCCGGCTGCTCCCCGCAGGCTCTTCCGGGACTGGGCAGCTCCGCGGACAGCAGCCTTCCCACGGACCTTCTCTCTGGGGCATTTCCTTGCCCGAGACCGGCGACCGCCACACAGGCCCGGCCACCCGCGGTCCTGCCACTGCCCTCCCCATTTTCCGGCTGGCTTCCCTCCCCCTCCCGCTGCTGCGGGTGCTCCGGCGAGCTTCGCGTTACTCGAGGCTCCAAAGGCGCAGGTGTTTCTAGCTGCTGAGGCAACGTGATCTGGCGTGCAACAGCGCTTGCGTGACTTCGTTTTAGAGTATCGTGTGTGATGCGCCACAGAATACGTACCGCTCCGTGTGACGCTGAAAGCGGCAGAAAGCGGCAGGGCCTCCCGCTGCAGCCTCTGCGAAGCCTGGCTGGAACCCATGTGGACAGGGTTCCTCCGGGGGAGGCGGCCTGGGGGGCGGGACCCCTCCCCAGCACGAGGATCCGCTCACGTGCTACTCACCTCTCTCCAGGGGGACGTGTACCAGCGCAGGCACGGCTCGGTGTGGCAGGGGGCCTGCGTCGGCGGCTTGTAAGGGACAGCCTGGCAGTGGAAGGGGCGGAGGGGCCGCTGGTCCCGGCTGTCCGCGCAGTGGACGTCCCGCAGCTTCACTCCCCCACCGCAGGCCTTGGAGCACTGGGGGAAGACACACAAGGGGCACGGCAACGGTGCGGGCTGGCTCCAGCCCCACCCCTCAGCCCTGCCCCGGCCAGCCGCACCAGGGACCGTCCCGGCACAGCGACCGTCTTGGCCGCCGAGGCCGGGGACCCGGGCGGCGGCCGCCACCCGCGTGCCAAGGCCAGCTCAGAGCCTGGCACGACTTGCGGTGCCGACATCGTCCGGGCTGCTCCCAAGGAGAGCGGCAGCTGGATGCGGGGGGGCCTGGGACACTACCAACCCGCGCAAAGCCCCCAGGGCTGGCTCGCTTCCGTGGTCTTCTCCTCCCGCACCCTCAGCCGCAGGGCCGAGAGACTCGGCTCTCTTCAGGTGCGAGGAAAAGACCAGCCGCTCGGGGCAAAAGGGTGTGCGCCGGGAGGGAGCAGCGCGGGAGGGCGAGGCCAGAGCCTCCGCCGCCAAGGGCTCGGTTTCCACGTGGGTCACCTACCTTGCTCCAGGCGCCGGCACGCCAGGCCGCGCAGGGCCCCAGGTAGCACCTTCGGGCGGGAGAGGGCTTCCCGGCGGGGTCGCACTCCGCCTCCACTCCCGAGCTGCAGCGCACGGTCCTCCAGATGGCCCCCAGCCCGCAGGTGGCTGAGCACTGAAACGGGGGAGCCGTGAGCACCGCCCACCGTGCTCCCCGCCCTCCTCCGGCCCCGGGAGCCGCGCCTGCTGCCCACGCACCTCTGGCCAGCCTCGCCTGGATGCCCCCAGCCTCTGGCCCCTGCCAGGCAGATGGCAGGGCCGAAGGTCGAGAGCACGTCCGCTCTGGCCCCAGAGCCATGGCGGGATCTCCAGCACCTCTGGCCTGCCGGAAGCCACCTGCCCACTCGGCCCTCAGGAGGCCTGTGCGGCCAAGAACGCCAGGTGAGCCAAGAGCAGGAGACACCCCCCGGCAAAGGGCCCCTACTCCAGCGAAGCAGGCTCGCCAGACAGAGAACGGCTCCTGCCAGCTTCCTGCAGAACTTGCCTCACTCCAGTTTCCAGATTCCCAGCTGGCATTGGCGGCAGCGAGTCCCACCGCTGGGGGAACCACAGGGGGCGCCTCGCTCTTCCCTGCCTCCTGGGGTACCGCAGTGGTGAGGCCGGGCCCCCAGCCGGGACTGCCAGGAGCAAATATCCAGTGAATCCCGTTGGGCAAGCTTTCTTCTGTGCCCTGGAAGGGTCCATGAGCCTTGGGAGACAATGCAGGCTTTGTCTCCGGGCTCCTCTTCCTCTCACTGGCTTCCTTCTCCCGTGGTGCAGCCAGCGTGGAAGGGGAAGGGCTGGGAAGAGTGGGCTCCAGCTTGGTCGGTGCCTGCTGTCCCCAGGCACCTGGGCTGTGGGGGTCAGAAGGGGAGGGCCCTTCCGGTAGAGGGTCAGCCGGCGGGGACAGAGTGCCCCTGGTGGAGGCGCGTGGGGGGTTCTGTGTATTTTCCACCTTGCTCTGGTTGCTTCCTAGAATGGGTGAGCTCACGGTGTGATCCAGCTCCTTGCCATTCTGCATGGAAAGCTCAAGGGTGGCTTTGGTGGAACGAGCTGGCGGAGGGGCAGAGTGGCCAGCTGGTCTGCTTGTTCCTGCCAGCTCCATCCCAACGGGGTTGAGCCAAGCGTCTTGTGCCCCGTGAGGGGTGTCCACGGCACTGCTGCCATCAGCCTTGCCTGCGTTACTTGGCTCCCCATTGCCCACTTCCACCGTTTCCCACGAGTTTTGCTCTTCGCCATCGTCATGACCAGGAAGCACCAAGCTTTTGAGGTCTTGGTCCCTTCTGCCAGGGGCACCAGACGTGCTTCCCTGACTGCGGCTGCTCCAGCCAGGAGGAACTGTGGGTGTTAGAATGGCCATGCCAGGAAAGCCAAAAGACGGAACGGTGGCTGCCGTGTCCTCTCCCAAAAGCCTGCCTGGAAGAGGTGCTCCGTGAGTTGTTCCTGACACGCGACTGCCACTGCTCGCCGGAGAGCTCGTTGCTGCTGAGGTAGATGGAGAACCTGGCAGAAGCGTGGCCCAGAAGCGCTTCTCCTGGACTGCAGAGGAGGTGGTGGCTGTGGTGGCAACGGTGGCATCCGGAGGATCGTGCCAACCGGCAAGAATGCCGTGATCCTGAATCGTGTTAGCTTCCCCTTCATCACGGGGCCGAGGAGCCGGAGCAGTGCTTGTCCCTTCCACCCCATCCTCCGGACGTGCGGTCAGGAGAAGGCCGGGGTGCGTTTCTTCAGGACCCTTCGTTGTGCCCTCGGGAGTCTGCTCCTCGGCATCTGGGTCCGAACCCTCCTTCCTGCCATCCATTTCACCCGCTGGGTCAAGGGACAGATCTTCGTGGAAGTTGATGAAATTGTAATCGTAGTAAAAATCATCCACGAACACATTTCCCTGCCGACTGCTGCTGGACGGAAAATTGTCCTCGAGGAGGACGTTGAGACCTGTGGCACTGGGCTGTGAGGAACTCGGCTTGGGGACGTGGCGGTTGGGCAGGAAATGGATCTCGTTGAAGAGCTCCCGGCTTGACGACCCGCTGCCAGACCAGTCCGGGAGACTGCTTTCCGCCCTGTCCCCGCAGGGCGGCATGGAGCAGGCGGCCCTGGAGACGGGTCTCTGCCCCGCATCGCAAGGGGCTCGGGTGCCGCCGGGGCAGCGGACGGGCCGCTCCTGGGTCCCGCTCCCACATGTCACGGAGCACTGGAGGGGCAAGGCAGAGGACAGATGAAAGGAGGGCCCCACCGGCCAGGGCCCATCGCGTGGTGCACGGAGTTGCCCTCACCTGGGTCCAGTTGCCCGTGGCCCACTGAGCCGGGCAGAGGCGCTCCCGGTTGCAGGGGGCGGTGGCATCCGGCCTGGGGAGGTGCTGGCACTCGCTGGGCGGCAGGGCCTGCTGCTCGTCTGGGGCCACGCTCTGGATGCAGAGGATGGTCCTCCGCATCAGCCCTGTGTCCCCGCAGGTGGCCGAGCAGGCCTGCCACTCGCCCGTCCACCACCTGGAGGAAGCGGCAGGAAGGAGCCCGTCACGCTCAGACCCCCAGGGCGGGGGGAAGGCCCCCCCAGGCCTGGCAGTGCCACACCCCATCTGGGGGCACTGAAGCCAGAGGCACTGGGAGTGACGAGCCAGAAGGCCACCCTGGGTGCCAGCGTCCAGCGCTTCCTGGCGGTGGGCAGGTCCGGGGGGAGGGGCATGCAGACTTTCAGAGCGTGGGGAGAGGAGAGGAAAGGCAAGCAGCCCCTGGGGCCTCCACGCAATAAAGGCTCGTGGCTGGAGAACGCAAACGCGGCCTGGGAAGCAGGGCAGCCTGGTGGTGTGGCCCCGGCTGGAGGCTCCCCACACTGCCCGCGCGTCCGCGGTGCTGCTTCGGAGGCCGGCTGCCTGGCCCAGAAGTGGGCAGAGCAAGCTGCATACGGCCCAGTCCCCTCGCCAGTCCCCCCAGCCCTCCTTCTGTGCCCCTTCATTTCAGCCAGAGGTTGACTCCCACCGCTCCACGGTGCGCTTCCGCTGGACCACATGCGGTGCCCCCGCAAGAGAGGTGTCCCCCCGTGCCTGCCACGCGCTGCCCCGAAGCACTGCAAAGCCCCTGGCACCGCAGCCCCTGCCGGAGAGCGCCCTGTGCAGCGAGGCCAGGGCGTGCCCGGAGCCCGGGGCTGACCTGGCGGGGCACGGCTCCTCGCCGCAGCTCCTCTGCTTGTCATCGGGCCGGCTGAGTGCCCCGCAGTAACGGTCCTCCACAACCCCGGCCACCTTCTCGGTGCAGCGCACCGTCTGTCTCTGGACACCTGTGGGCGAGAGGAGGCAGAAGGCGATCAGGCCCCGCCTGAGACCGTGGCTGCCGGGGGCCACGCACTTCCCCAGACCTGCAGCTCTGCCGGGGGGGGGGTGCAGCGGGGGGGTACGTGCTGGCCTCCCTCTTGCAGAGCCACAGGCAAGTGGCTGGTGCCGCTGGTTGCCCGATGCAAGGGCCAGCTCAGGTTGGAAGAGGACCACCCCTTCCACTGACCACCGCCTGCCCTGTCAAGGCCAGGGGGTGGTGGGGAGGGGGGCCCGGGGGCCTGGATTACGTGGGCACCAAGTGCAGCCACCGGGGGCCGGGCCAGCAAGGCCGGGCTGAAAATGCAGTGGGCCAAGACGCACGTGAGGTGCACGGATTCTCGCAGCCGACAGCAGCTCTTTGTCCAGCCTCTCGCCTTTGTTTGGTCCGGGCACCCGCAGCTCCCTCGCCCCACTTCCTGTTTCCTAAATGGATGCAGGAAGCTGGGCTGCTCGCGCTCACTGCGTGGGAGGAATAGCATCTCCCCGCACCCCAAGAGGACTCCCGAAAACAGCTGGCCAACTCACAAGAATCGGTGCATAAGCAAGAGGACTCCTGGGCAGCCAGACGGCAAGAGCAGTCCTTGGGCCACCCGTGCCACTGTGTGTCTGCAGGGACAGCAGCCCCATTGTGCCTGGAGTGCCACGGGTGGCCCAAGGACTGCTCTTGCCATTGGAGGCAGGAAACTCTGCAAGGCCCTGGAGACGGCCCTCCACTCACTGCAAGCCAGAGCGTGGGAGAAACACGGAGAGCCCATCGAGCGCACCGGGAGCCGACTCGGAAAGCAGCGACGCCCATGCAAGGAGGGCAGGAAGCTTTGGCTGCTCCCAGGCCAGACTGGAAGTAAAACGACTGGGAGGTGGGTAGGGTGGAAGGGGAGACGCGCAGCCGCCATGGCAATTTCCTAGCCCAGCGGGAAGGACCTACCGCATCTCCTGCTCTTCCTCTGCAGAGCTCAGGGTGCTGGGCAATCCCTCAGGCCTTCCCTCTCTGCATTCTTTCCTGAAGGCTAGTTGGAGAGCGGACTAACTTCCCTGGGCAGGAGCCCCATTCAGAGCTGGTCCATCGCCCCGGGACACTCGTCCAAGAGCTTCTGCAGAATTATGCCAAGACTGGGGTGGGCAGAGAAGGCAGCACCCCCCCGCCCCCATAAACGGGGCTGAGTCCATGCCAGGACTTGCTCACAAAAATCCCAGGCAAGGGCACCCAGGATGCTCCCCCGCCCGTTCCTAGCGGGATGCGGGCGCAGCAGAGGGAAAAGCGAGCGGGAAAGCGGGCCCGACACAGGTGCACAAGGAGGACTTCCGGGCTGGGCTGCGTTGAGAACAGAACCGGGCAGAGGAAACGGGTCTCGCTGTAACCCAGACCTGGGGAGGGAAAGGGGGGCCTTTGGGGGCCAGGAGACCGCTCCGCAAGGCGCACATGTGCCAGGGAGACGCAGGCTGAGGCAGAGGGAGCAACCTGGATGCTGGGGGCGGTTTCTCCAGCGCTCTGCTCTGGAAATACAGCCGCTGGCATCCCTGACAATTTTGGCGGGCCGCTGGGGAAATGATGCTGATAAGTGGAAGACGCGCGTTCCAGGTGGGAATTGCCACGGGAGCACAAGCCCTGCAGGCCCAGTGGCACCAGCCCGGTTTGGCTCCCTTCGGGAAGCGGGATCCAGAGGCTAAGGAGATGAATCAGCCCCCCCTGGGTGGGCGCAGTCGAGAGGACTTCTGCCGCGCGCGCCGGACACACGAACTGCCCGCTCAGCAGGGGAGGCCTGTGCCAGGCCAGGCTCTTGTGCAGCTTTGCTCAAGCACAACCCCCCGAGTTCCGGGGGGCTGATTCCCAGGTGAGCGGGCGCAGGTTGCATCTTGGGACCACTCTGTGGATTCCTGCCTCCAGGGGCATCAGTGAACATCCCTCTGGACGGTGCCCACCGGAGGTGCCGTTCCACACAGCTCCCTCCGTTCTCCGCAGCAGCTCCAAGGGTCCGTCAGGCTGTTCTCGGGGCCTGCAGACACCCTGCCCCTCCGCACAGTCCAGCCAGCAGCCGGCCTCAGTGCCCCCCCCCCCCCCACACTGGCCACGTGCCACGAGTCAGCAGCACGGTCCCTCGCTCGCTCCCACGGGAGTCGCTCGGGTGGGCCGCAGCTTTGCTGCGCGGAGGCACGCTTCCTCTCCTCTCCCGCTACCACTTGGCTGCGGAGCCCGACCTTGCAAAGCCGGTTCCCCCATCACACTGCGCGCGAGGCCGAGCGAGGTGCGGGGGCCAGTAGCCGGTGCAGCCGGAGCGAAGTTGGACCTCTGCCACCGGGCGGGCTTCGAGCCAGGATTAGATTATCCCTCTGGCAGCCGCACTCCCTGGCGGGGCTCCGGAAGGCCGCTTGGCTGGCCAGCGTGCTCCTCAGCGAGCTGGGAAGGGAGCCCTCGCCGCACGCCCTTCCTCGGCCGGCGGGGCAGCGCAAGGCAGTACGTCGGCCTCTTCTGGGGCACTGCTGCCCCACTTCTTTCCCCCACAGCCCCCCTGCTGGAAAGGTCCCTTCCATTCATGATGCCAATGTGGCCACCCTCAGCATCTGCAGGGAGCCCGGCTGCCCTGAGCCCTTCAGAAGCTGCCCCCTGGGCGGAGAAGGCACCCTCCAGGCCCCAGTACAGATCCTCTTTCTGCCTTTACACCCCATCTTGCGTGCTCCTTGGAGCATGAGGAGGAAAGTGGCGCTCCCGCACGGAGTCTGATGGGGGCATTGGGAGAGGCTGCTCGGACGGCCTGTGTCAGCGCCACGAGGCAAGCCTGACTGGGGGGGACGCTGCCAAGCAGCGGCTCAGCAGACCAGGGGAACCCTCCCTCCCCTCCAAACGTGGGCCTCGGCCCAACCCGGCCAGGCCGCTGACGGCACGACAGGGTGCTGCTGGGTGGAGGGGTGGAATCTGCAGCCGTGACACTGCGGAGGGACGCCAGAGGCTGGGTTGTTTCAGCAGGGGGGCATTCCCTTGGGAGGCAGGCCAGTGGCAGGTCACAGGAATGCCCAGATGAGCGTGGCTGTACACCAGGGCCCTTGGCAGCCAGCCCCCAGGGATGCCCGGCTTGCTGCCTCTGCGACTCGGGTTCCGGGGCTCGGGGCCACCACAAGCAGAGGCAGCCTGGAGCCTTCCCGCAGCAGCGGAGGCAGCCACACTGCATGCCTCTGCGGCAGGGGTGGGAGCGGGGCGTGTGCCAGAGACACGGCAGCAAGGGAGGGCTCTGCCGTTGGCAGGCTCAGCGCCAGCCTCACGCACACGGCTGTGCCCCTCGGAGCCTCTGGACACAGGAGGTTCAAGCTGTCACAAAACTCTCGCTCTTCCCTCCTCTTTCTCATCCGGAGCGCGCGTTTCGCAGCACTGCCTGATTCCCTCCCTCTGGCCCTTCCTCTTGGCTCATCTCAGTTTGCAGGACCAGGCGAGGCACGAGGGGAAGCGCTCAGGTTCTGGAAGGTCCGCCTGATGGCTGTTCCACCCAGCCCACTCATCAGAATTTCATGGGCACTTTGCCCAAGCTTTGCTGAAGTCCACAGAGGAGGTGCAGAGCATTCCCACCGTCCATCAGGGGGGTCCCCAGTCAACAAGGGGACTCAGAGGAGTCTGGCAGGATTTGTTCTCGAGGAATCCATGCTGGCCGCTGGCCGTCGCCGCGCGGTTTCCAAGGCCCTTGCCGACTGACTGCCTTATCACCTGCCCCAGGGTTTTCCCAAGTGGGGCTGTAGCTCCCAGGCTCTTCTTCCTCTCCTTCCTTGACAACAAGGACACCATTTGCCCTCCTCCAGGCACCCAGCACTGAGGCATTCACTGCCGGTCACGGGGCACGCAGTCACCGGACTGATGGGTGCTTCAAAGTGCAAACTTCATCCCCGCGACCGCCCAAGAAGGCCGCTGACTGCCAGCTTCACGGGGGCAGGTGCAGCGGGGCTGCGCCCAGGTGAGCACCACACCTGCTGGGCGTGGTGGAGTTCCTGCAGCAAGCACCCCTCTTGGCTCCAAGCCAGGGTGGGCTGGCTGCTGCGTGAACCTGCCAGGGCGTTCAGTTGTAACTGGGGGCTTTCCCACTTGGACTCAAGGATGCAAACCCTGGCCGGGCTGTTACAATTCCTGCCGCTCCTCACACGACGCTGGAGGGTGAGGAAAAGGCACGGATGCACAGAAGGGAAGGCGAGCAGCTTTACCTGTCCCACAGGAGGCCGTGCACGCTGTCCAGCTGCCGTACTGCCAGAAGAACTCGGCTGGAGCGATCTCATTTTCACTGTCTGCCTCCCTTTGGATGGTGTATTGATAGCGAATTCCCGGGTTCTTCTCCTGGAACAAGAGCTGCGTGGGAGGAAAGAAGAAAACCTTATTACAACATTCATCTGGGATACCCGAGTGGTGGTTAACCGAGTGGGGACAAAGAGGGGCGTCCCGTCAAGAAGGTCCAAAAGGAAACCTCCCTCAGTCCTGGGACGGCCTGAGCAAAGGGCACCACCTGCACCTCAGGAAAAGCCTGCAAAGTGACCGGGTGCCACTTGTTTCAAAGCCTGCCAGGGGCAAATCAGCTTTGTCCTTCAGGCCTGCCTATAGCGGAGGAGCCGAAACGGCCCCCGGCGTGTGAGCGAGCAAATGTGCAGAACACTTTGCACATGTGCAAATGAGGCAACTTGGAGGGAGCCTTTCGGGTGGCGCCCAGGTGAGTTTCCAGCCGCCAGGCACGCGTGACTCCTGAGCGCAGCGAGGAGCGCCTCAAGCGTCTCCCCACAGCCCTCGGCCAGGGCAGGGCGAGCACCAGGCTCACGGAGCAGCCTCTGGCTCACGCACCTCCCCTCGCTCCCCGCGTCTTTCTGCTCACGGCAGGAGGGAGCAGGGGGGCTGAGCGGGTCTGTTCCGAAAGCCCTCTTGCCTGTGCTGAGCAGGCCTCGACAAGGGAGGGTCTCTGGGAGGAGAGGCCTCTCAGGCAGCCGGGAGGCGGGGAGGAGGCTGTTCAGCCGAGCGGAGCAGAGCGGGGGTCCAAAAGGGAACCCAGCGCCTGGGCTGGAAGGGGAAGGGAAGGGAGGGGAAAGCCAAACACCTCCCCGTGAGCACAAGTATCTCCCGAAATGCTCGAACGGCCAAGTACTCCCGCAAAGGAAGAACCCAGCTGGCACAGAGGACTTTTGCTGGCTTTGGCTGCAAAAGAGGGAAGCTTAGCTGTGCACAGTTTGATTTCATTTTATGCAATGCCTTTGCAGAACGGAAAGGTGTGCCATGGTAAGAGAGGCCCAGGTGGGGTCTCTGCAAGTGGCACCTCCAGAAAAGCAAGGTGCCAGGTGTGCTCAGGTTCTCTGGCTGGTGCTGGCTGCTCCACCAGCCTTCAGGCCCTATGGCAAGCTGGGCCGGCTCCGGAGTGCGGCTCTGGGGGGAACGCAGATCCCGCAGGCCAGCGGGGAGAAAGGCAGCCGGCCCTCTCAGTCCGTCCCATCCCAGTCTGGGAGCTTGTCACGGGGCAGCCGGCCGTGCCGCCCGCTTGCTTCACCACCCGGCATCTGGCTGGCCGCCCCGTCCCCAGCCGCCAGGCCCGCAGTCCCCTGCTCGCTCCAGCCGCATGGCCGCGCACGCTCCACCCTGCAGCCTGCCTGGCGCATGGCCAAGACGGCCGGCGAATGGGCCCGCGCGGATCAAGCTGTGTGTTCTGGAGCATCCGAGAACAGCTGTTTCCAGCAGCTTCCTTCCAGATCCCCGCAATGGAGAGGGAGGCAGGGCAAGCGGGCTGCAGCAGCAGATGCTAGAGGCCAAGGGGTGCCTGCAGGCGCTGCCTGCCTGGCGCTTGGGCAAAGAGCAAGGAGGCAGTCGGAGCGAGAGAACGGGATGCAGCAGGACGCCTGCCCAGCCCCTTGCTGGCCTTTGGGGCAAGGTCAAGCCAGCAGCCAAACACAGGCCTACGTATGTGCAATGCTGGGAAACGCATTTGGCTTAAGCTTGATGGACTTTAGACATATCTTCTGACCTGATGGTCAAAATCAGGCCAGGCCAGAGGGCTTGGTTTCTGCAAAGCTGCTCAAAATGGTTGTGCAAAGTCGAAGCCAAGAACGGCATATCTCTAGCACAATCTGGGGCCGACTCACTCCAAGTCACTGCTGTTCTCGGTATAACATTAAGCTTGCAAAGAAAGGCAGGTTGCTTACCTGCAACGGTCACTCTTCGAGTGGTCATCTCTGCATCACACACTTGGGTGCTGCACCTGCACAGTGCCTGCAGCCCGGAAGATTTAAAAGCTTAATGGTTTGGCGGGAACTCCACACCCCCCCCCCCCACACAGAGTATAAGAAGGCAGAGTGCCCGCCATTTCCTCAGTCTACTGAAGACCGACTGTTCGTCCCCAAAGCAGAAGCGAAAATTATTACACATCCTGTGTTTAGGACAGTAAAGATGAGTGTATATATATACATGAAGATACACTCTACAGATCTGTAACCAAGCGAAAACACAGTACCACAGAAACCCAGTTTCTGACACCGAGTGGGCGGGTTGTGTGAATGCACAGATGGCCACGCGAAGAACGGCAGTTCCAGGTGAGCGACCTGCCTTTCTTCGCCGTGGCCTCTGTGCATCGCACATACGGGAGACGAGCAAGCTTGCCAGACCCGGAGGTGGGACGGAGTCATCACTGAAGAACAGAAGGGAGGACTGCTCCACCAAAGGCGCCATCCCGCCTGGCACGCCCCTCGCGGCGGCGACGCTGGGCAGAGGCGCCAGGAGCAGTGCCAGCGGCCGCCTTGCGTGTGTCACGGAGCGGAACGCCAGCAGAAGAGGCAGAAGCCGTGCAACCGCCCTTGTGCAATGTCCTCTGGGCCTGACGGGTGCATCCAATTTAGAAAGTTGACAGGCCAGCTCGATGGCCTGCACAATCCATTTCGAGCGTCTTCGGGATCCGATAGGAGACCCTTTGTCATGCTCTGAATGCTTGATGAAAAGACGCCTGGCATTGCGAAAGGGCTCTGTGAGAGACCTGTGGAAGGCGAGGCGTCGAACATCAAGGGAGTGCAGCGAGCGCTCCACGGGCGCAGACGGAGTCGGAAAACCGGCTGGTAAGATAATGTCCTGATCGACAGGAAGGGTGACACGACTTTTGGAAGGAACGCCGGATCAGTACGCAGAACTACCTTCTCCTTGTGGAAATGGAGATAAGGAGGGTCTGTACGAAGCACGCAGAGTTCCCTGGCCCTTCTAGCTGATGTGAGAGCAACGAGGAAGGCAGTCTTCCGTGACGAGAGATCTGAGTCGGTAGTCGCCAAGGGCTTGAGAGGAGGTTTGGTGAGTGCTTGAAGCACAACAGAAAGGCTCCGCGTCAGAACAACTGACCTCACCGGTGGCTGGAGAGCCTGTAATCCTCGAAGGAATCGACAGATAAGGACGCTGGAGAATACCGATGAGCCGGCCACCTGGCCACGGTAGTGAGCGACTGCAGCGATGTAAACTTTAATGGATGAAGGTTTGAGTTCAGTCTGGTGTAATGATAAAAGAAATTGAAGAACATTTTCAATAGAGGCTGAATGAGCAGTAAAGTGGTTGGTTTCAGCAAAAGATGTGAAATGTTTACATTTAGCCACAAACAAGCGATGAGTCGTAGGTCTTAGCGCAGACTGGAGAATGAATTGAATATCAGGGTGCAGAACGCTCGAATCCGATGCAGCATTCGTCGGTATCAAGGGAGGAGGAACAGCTGTGTCCAGACACCGCCGGGTCGGTGTCAGGACCGAGGAGGCCATCGGCTTTGAAGACTGCCAGCAGCTCTAGGTAGTTGATGCGTTTGGCAGCCTAGTGATTGTCCCAAGTGCTCCGAGTGCGAAGGCCGGCACACAGAGCTCCCCAACCGGTGAAGGAGGCATCGGTGAGCAGAGTCAGTGCTGGATGAGGTGGGTGGAACAAAATGTCGACAGAAAGATTGCTTTATATAGTCCACCGTGACAGGGTCTGGAGAACGGAGGCTGGGAGACAAAGAGGCCGGTGAGGTGAATCTTGTTGAGGTTGGAATGGCCATTGAACCAGAGTTGGAGGGGCCTCATCCATAGTCTGGTGTATGGGACCATAGAGACTGCGGAAGCCATCTGTCCGAGGAGCTTCTGTACCGAGAGGGCTGAAACAGTTCTGTCCATATGGATCCGCCAAATGGATGCATGAAGAGTCCCTTGTCATTCTTGAGGAAGGAAGGCTCTCGCGATCGTGGAACTGAGATAGGCTCTGATGAAATCGATGATCTGTGAAGGAACAAGGCACGATTTTTTTGTAATTAATACACAGTCCCAAATCATCTAAGAGGGTGCCTGTAGTTCGAATCGACGATCGAAGGCCTTCTCTAGATGAGGAGACGATCAACCAGCCATCAAGGTAAGGGTATACTTGAATTCCCTGAAGCTGGGTATGTGCACACACCGGGACCTGTGGCGCAGTAGCCAGTCCAAATGGTAAAACGTTGTATTCAGACAAGTTGGACCGTAAACCGAAGAAGAGACGGGTGGATGCTAATATGGAAATAAGCATCCTTTAAGTCCAAGGAAGCGAACCAATTTGCTCTCCTGAGCAACGGAAGGATAAATTTTGAAGGGTGGTCATCTGGAATTTCTTAGTTTTGATGAATTTGTTGACACCACGTAAGTCCAATATTGGGCGAAGACCACTGTTACATTTCGGAACCATAAAATATCTCAAATAGAAACTGTGTAACCCCTCGGAGCATGACATTTGTCAAATTGCTTCTTTACGAAGAAGCTGCTGAACTTTGTCTTTGAGAACTGTCGACAGAGATGTATATCAGATCAGTCCCGATGACTCGATTCTATATCTGTGCTCCATGATGGATAGAACCCCCTGATCAGATGTGACGGACTCCCAAATGGGAAGTTGACTTTGCAGTCAGTCCCCAAAAGGAAGAGGGGAGGGTGGCTTCAGGAGAGGAGAAAAGGTTCGCTCAGCCCGTCAATGCTGGTGCTTATCAGAATTCAGATGGTGACGGCCCTGCTGATAGCGCTAAGGTGGTGGTGCTGCTGACGAGGCTGAAACTGCTGCTGGTCAGGGAACTGCGTGTAGGGTTGATACTGGTAGGAGGGATGGGACCAAGACCACTTACGTCTGGATTGGCTCATTTATTTCGATTTATATCCTGCCTTTTTCCTACAAAGGGCTTGGTTGGGGTCTTCCATATGATGAGCTGTCACGTGTGATTTGTGGATGGTCTTGAACTTGTGGTCTGTCCTGGCGTTGAAAAGCCCTGAGCTGTCAAAGGGCATGATCTCTATGCGGTGCTTTGTCTCATCCAGGAAGTTGCAATTCTGGAGCCAGGCATGGCGACGGAGGGCTACAGCACCAACACGGGCCCTCAAGTCGCAATCGACATGATGCCTCACCATAGAGAGCTGCTGAATCACCACCTGCATCGCCTCTTTGGTGAAGATGTGAGCCACGTCCCTCTGCTGCTCTGGAAGCGACGCTGTAATGTTCTCCAGTTTTTGCATGAGAAAATACTGGTAGCGAGCCAGCGTCGCCTCGTAATTGGAGATCCGGAGCTGAGACCTGTGGGGGCGTAAATGCAGCGAGCCATCATGCCAATCTCCCACCCTTCCTTGTCACAAGAAGTGGTATGTTTTCTCAACTCGCGACCCTGAGACAACTCCATGATGATCAAGTTCGGCCTCGGGTGACGCAGGAGAAATGGAATGTGTTGTTCACGAACTTGGTACATAGATTCATATCGCCGTGAAATCAGCTGTGGCTGGTTGAGGAAATTCCATGGTTCCATCATCGCCTGACGGAGCGTCGTGATGTGTGGCAAAATGATGGTGGCGGATTGTTCTCTCTTGACGATGTTATGGAACTTATCAGTACCGGGATCAAAGTGGCGCTGGGCTTCAATCTCCAGTGACCTCACCAATCTCGCCATCAGTTCCCCAGACATCGAATACGACTCCTCGGGTGAGCTGGGACCTTGTGTGGTGATCACGACGTCCAGCGAGGTGGACGCTACATCCAAGTCCTCCGAATCAGAATCATAATGGAGCAGAGGACTGGAGGAGGAGTTGGCCAGCGAGGAAGGGCGCCTGGTCTGAGCTGCCGCAGATGTCGATGGAGCATCCCTTGGGATCGGAGACAGTGTACGCTGAATTATATCTGTACGGTGCATAGTCGTCCCATGGTTCACGATGGGCAGATCCATGCGGCGGTTGCACCCATTCTCCGGAGGGACAGACGGAGGCACACTGCTGGTACCGCACTCGCTGAGGCAGGGCCCTCGGTGAAGCCGCAGGCGAAGGCTGCGGTGTGGGCAAGCGTGCCATCGGAGCAGCCATCTGTGGAGAGTCCCGGATCTCTCCGCTGGAAATCGATCCCAGCATGGCTGCCTCCTGATGTTCTGGCGAGGACAAGATGGAAGGAGCAACCTTTCGCGGGGACCCTAGCAGGGTGACCTGCATCACCAGTTGGAGAGCCGGTCCAGTTGGTGCTGGTACCGAAGCGGCCATCGGGACCGACGGGCAGGCGATCCGGAATCACGGTGCCGGGGCTGATCGGCCTTCTTGGCTTTGTGAGCCGTCTTGCCTGCCTTGTCCTTCTTAGGCTTCTCATGGCCCGAGGACTTGCTGGATCCACTGTGCTCCCACTTTTCCTTTTGTTTATGAGGAGATTTAGAGGAACGCTTGCCCTCCAGCAGCACAGCGCCATCAGCCGATGGGCGGGGCGGAGGGGCAGCCGAAGAGGAGGGCTGCGCAGCGGACTGGGCCGCCAGCTGATCGGACCGAACCAAGGCCTGGTCCCAGAGCAGCCTGTGCAGGTGGTTTTCCCGGTTTTTTCGCGCCTGCTTGGTGAAGGCCTGGCAATGGCCTCACTTACTGGTCCTATGTCCTTCTCCGAGGCAAAGAAGGCACAAGTCATGTGGATCAGTGGGGGACATCGTGGACCCGCACTGAGAACACCTGCAGAAAGCCACATGCTGAGCCATCGAGATTGAAAAAGAGAAGATAGCGAAGCCGAGAAATGTAAGAAGAGAATAAACCGTTTTTGGGGGGGAGGAAGGGGGGATGTGAAGAAAAACTTCTAACAGGGAGGGATGAATAACTTGGAAATCTTAACAAGAAAGCTAAAAGAACAGAGAACGACTGTTTTAAAGGGGATCAAGATACACAATATAGCTACGAACTGAGAGACGAAAGGCTTGAGGTACAGCGAACAGTGGTCCCAAGAAGACTAAGGAAATGGCGGGCACTCTGCCTTCTTATACTATTGGGGGAGTGCGGAGTTCCCACCAAAACCATTAAGCTTTTAAATCTTCCTGGCTACAGGCACAGCGCAGGCGCAGCGCCCATGTGTGTGATGCACGGAGGCCACGACAAAGAATGGAAGAATCCTCTCCTCCCTGCCCATGTAGGTGCCACCATGAATTTTTTGACAGTTAATTTCAGATTTGTGCAAAATCCAGATTTTTTGTAGTTTGTGCAAATCTGCAGGATCTCTGCAGCAGGGGCCTGAATGATGCAAGACTTCCCTGGCTTTTAAAAAACAGTTATGCAAAACATGGCCAGTTTCGTCTCATGGGGAGCTGGTGCCGGAACAAGGCTGACGGACCATGCAGAGTTCCAGGCTGCAGCCCCAGTCAGCTGTAAAAGTGACTCTCAGCCTAGCCTACCTCGCAGGGTTATTGTGGAAAAAAAATGGAGAGGGAGGCAGGGATTTGGCCTTGGGCTCCTTGGAGGAAAAGGCCTGATATAAATGAAATAAATACATCGGCATTTCAAAAGGCCACTGCAGCCTCTTCGGCGGAAAGAGCTCAAGGTCATGACACCAGGATCGGAACGGAAGCAGGATGCCTCGCACTGCCCTCACATCCGACCGCAGAACACGCCCTTCCAGGGAAGTCATGGGCTGCCCGCGGGACCCATGCGGGCCAGCCAAGCGCTCTGCACAGCACTTCCCTTGCAGATAAGCAGCCGGCCAATGGAAGGTCTTGAGTGCAAAGGTGTCCGGCACAGCCGACCATGTCGTGTGCCTGGGAAACCCGCCCCTCCCCTGCCCCCCAACACTCTGCCTTGAGTGCCAGGATGCAAGAAGGACGAGATGTCGATGCAAACAGCAACGCATGCTGCGATCCGTCACTGGGTTTGACCATCCAACCAGCATGCGCAGGTCACTCTTAGGAACGGAGGCAGCAAAGCTTTTGCCCACGAAGGATGCCGAGTCCAGGCCTAGAACTCCCAGAGCGGCATCCACTGGCGCAACCATCATGCAAAGCACGAGGCAACGGTCCCTCCAGTACCTGAATCCAGACGGGCTCCTCTGTGGGCCCCGGAGACGTGAGGTTCTCCCAGTTTCCCGTTCTCTTGTAGGTGAAGGTTGTCCCAGCCACCTGGTAATCACCATTCCACTGGATGGTCCAGCCACCGTTCAGGAAGTATTTCTCTGGGTCTTCGCTTCGCAGGGCCAGGAAATTCTCCGCTTCGGCCACCTCCTCAATCTGAATTTCTCGTGCTCCAGCTGGGATCAGTCCCACATCAACATAACCTATTCGGGGGATTGAACGGCTCATCAGCAGCAAGTTACAGGACTAGTTTATCCTTTCCACAAAGTGGAATAAAGCCCTCCATTTCTAGATGTCCCCAGAACAAAGCCCTCTGGAGTGCTTGTCCTTTCTCGGGATGACCCTGTGCGCTGTGAAGAAATGGTGGCGCTTGGCATGGCATGGCTTGACCTTTGTGTGAAGGGGGAAGGAACGGGCGCAAGCAACAAACTGCCAAAGGAAAACACGCACATTTGCATTCCAGCTGCATGAGCCAAAGAGTCTCAGCCTGTGGACTTCCATCAGGTCTTGCCTCCTGGCAAAAACTGTTCTTTTGCAAAACGATTGGTGCTGCTCGCGCCCAATGCCCACATTTTTCTACTCCTGGACTCTATGAATGCGTGTCTTTCTGGCTGACAGGGTGCATCTCACTCGCCCGGTGTGGAGCGCAGAGTGCGGCTCAGAGCCAGAACATGGCTGAAAGGGGAGGCATTCTGGCAAACAGCCTCACCTCGGCCCTCGCGCTCCTCGAAGGTCCTCTTGACCGTCTGGCAGGTGGAGCCATCCCCGCGACACATGCCGCACCGGTCCTCGACAGCGTAGGAGTCAATCTCGTAGTCGCAGCCAACGTTCTGGAAAACAGAACAGTCGTTCCACACGGCGGCCTGTGCACGAACGACAGGGGAGCTGAAGGTGCCAAGCTGGCCCACGCGGGAGTCCTGCAGCAAGGCCTGCAGGTAACTTCAAAGGTGGCGACATGCGCAGCATTTCCTGGCTTCCTTCTTCCAAGCGGCACGCCTGCTCTTTCACCTCCCAAGCGAATTCAGCCAACGCAGGTGCCCCGGGAGGCCAAGGGGCAGAGGCAGATGGTGGCCACGGTCACAGGCCCATTCGATCTGCACTTTCCATTTCTTTTTCCAGAGATTACAAAAAGCAGTCTGCGATTTGACGGCTAGTGACTATGGCTTTGGAGCACCAAAGGGGCACATAGGAGAGGGTTCGTTACCCCTTCATAAACAGGGAAAAAAGGTGCCCCCGCCCTGCCAAGCTGCACCGATGTTCCACAGTTTTTCTTATTTATGCATTTTCAGCTGGAGCGCACAAACATGCACGTGTGCGGGTTCAAAGTGCTTTGTGCTGCCTAAGCAGGGGTGGCCGCAGTCCCCAGTAATCAGGCACCCCCATGGGCATTAATTCAGAGAGGCTGCCAAGGGCTTCGTTTCCGGGTGACGTTTCCTGACAGCCGTCAAAAGGCAAGCTGCCAACAGAAACGGAAGCTGTGTGCGGCCATGGAGAGCGGGTGGTGGAGAAGACCAGGTCAAGCATGTGTCCTTTTCCATGTGCGGGGCCAAAGGCGTGTTGACTGTAGCGGATCAGGCTGTACTCAGAAAAACAGATTTTGTCATCCTGCCCCTCTGCCTGGCCATAAATACATCAATACACAGTCTTAAAAGATGCCTCAGTGTCTGGTTGTGAAGATCAAACAACCCTCTCCGTTAGTGGGTAACTTCAGAGTGCAATCTCTGTGTTTTACAGGCTTGCCAAAGTGCCTCCCTAACCCTGTACAGTCACGCATGTGACCTTTCTGTTTACTTCACTTGGCCGGCCTGTTCAAGGCAACTTTAACTGAGAAGGCCTGTCAAAGGCATCTAATGAGAGTGAAACATAACCTTTTCTTTATGGTGCTGTGACGCGTATCCAATCACTTTCCTACCCATATCAAAATGTCCAATCACCTTCCCGTGTGTTGTATTCACTCCCCTTTTGTGTATTCTATAGAATGGTAATGAAATTAGCACTGGGTGTTCCTGCCTTGGGCACCCATGGACCCATGCGTTTAATTGTAAATAAACCTAACTGCCCTCACAAGAAACTGACCGTGTGGGCCTTACTTGCGGGGTTTCGGTCTGACAGGGCAAACGGGCGTCCCTCCTGCACAAGTTCTGCACCGGCAGGGAAGGTGCTGGGGAGTCTCAGCGCAGGCGCAGCACGGGGGCATCTGCTCTAACCATCTGCAGCTCCAGCCAGAAGTGGCACCGTCTGCCACGGGCACCACGCACCTGCACAGAACCGTTCTCGGAGAGAACACCAGCACCCACGTGCCACTGACTGCAATCCACACACCATAAACGCCACTTCACTCCAGCACAGCTGCCACACGCCACCGTTTCGTGCACGAGCCGAGCCCGGCTCCCGCCACGGCCTCCAGAGGGTCCTGCAACGGCCGCTGCCTGCGCCGCAGACCCGGACGGCTGTCCCAGCCCTGCCGAGCCCTCGGCGGACGCCGCCCGCCAGCCTACCTTGCAGATCCCGTTGATGCACAGGTCCCGCCTGGCGCTTCCTTCGTAGCAGGGCGTCCCGTCGGCAACAGCATCCCGGAGCTTCTCGGCAAAGTACCCGTTTTCTGGGCGGCAGTGCAGTTCGCAGGGGCTGCCTGCCAAGGCCCGGAAGACCAGTCAAGGCCCTCGCGGGAGCTCCCTGACCTCCTGCATCCCCGCCATGTCCCTCCCCGCCACGGCACAGGATGCTCTGCGTGGCTGAACCATCCGGCGGCATCCCGGAGAACGCCTTCCCAGCCTGGCTGCGGGGGTCGGCCAGGCCTCCGGCACAAGCAGGGCCCCCTCTGCCCGACGCTGAATTCCTTGGCGGAATGCAGGGTGCCTTGCGAGCCGGGGAGCCCCCCGCTGCCCACAGCCGCCTGCACATGCTCTGGCAGGGAGCTCCCGGGGCCTCGAACGTCCGATGCCCAGTGACTCCAGCAACCCAAGCTGCACGTGGCCAAGGGACAGCCGACAAGCTGCAGGGGTGGAACATGCGGCGCAGGGAAGCGGCTGCGCGTGCGACCGACCTCCCCCGTTTCTCCCGCCTGAGGAAGAGCGACTCACTCTTATTAGGCACTGGAGTCCATTTATAAAGTTTCCCTTTGTAGGGCCTGGCATCGAAGTAGCTGCACTGGACGTGGCGGAAAGACGGCTTGCCTGCCGGGCACGGCTGGGTGCTGCACACTCGGAAGCGTTTCCGCTCCCCCAGGCAAAATTTGCCCCCGTACTTTGGCCTGAAGTTGGGAAGGAAAAGCAAAATCAGAACCACACACAGTGCAGAGTCAAAACTTCTGCTTGGAAGGAAGGAAGGAAGGAAGGAAGGAAGGAAGGAAGGAAGGAAGGAGAGAGAGAGAGGGAGAGAGAGAGAGAGGGAGAGAGAGAGAGAGAGAGAGAGAGAGAGAGAGAGAGAGAGAGAGAGAATGAATGAATGAGCGGCCTAGAAGCACGTCAGCCAGTTCTGGCTGCCCTGCTGTGTGTCTGCAGGAAGAGAGAGAGAGGCCGCAAGCTCGGGGGATGCCAGCCTGTGGAGCTCCAGACGTCACGTCTTGTAATTCCCATCATTCCTCACCACTGATCGCACTGGCAGGGGCAGCTAGGAGTCCAGGGCAAAACGTCTGGGTAGCCACAAACCTCTTGGCTAAGAGGATCAGGCTGCCTCCCATCCCTGCTGGGCACGTTTGCCAGGCAGAGGCCTCTGTATTGCTGGGCCAAAGCTCCCCCCTGTCCTGGCCAGACTGGCCAGCGGAGAGGCAAGAGAGGAGCTGCAGGCCAGAGACATCTGGGAAACCACAAAATGCCCCCTCCTGCTCCAGGGCCAACAGGTCCATGTCACTCACGACAACATCTCCATATAAATGAAGTGCCGAAATCCCGGACAGCAAAAAACTTGGGATCGGCAACGCTGCTGGTGCTGACAGGCTGGCTCCTGAGGGGGCCATTGTGCCCCTCTGCCCGAGCGCAGCCCTGCCCCACTGTCCGCCTGCTGTTGGTCCCAGAGGGCTTTCTCTGGGTGGACGGTGTAACAGCACCACATCACCTGGCCGAGACCTTTGCCCTTGAGCGGGTTGGGAGGGTGAGGAAGGACCGGGCGGACCTTCACTCTAATTTAAAGAGGGAGCATGGTTCCTGTTGGGCTTGTCGGGCAAAACACTTCCATCCTTCCAAGCCAAGCAGGCTGCACATCTTTCAGCAGGGCTTGCTAACAAGGAAGCCCAAACAATTCTGGCCCTTGAGCACAAATTACCTCCTCGCCAGTAAACACACAAACGAGGGCCTCACAGAGCTGAGGCCCCCTTCCTTCCACGCCTCTGGCATTCCCTGCTGGAAAACAAAGCTGCTTTCAGGAACCGCTGCCCCAGAGAGCACGGCTGCGTGGGATGGGAAAAGAAGACCAGAGACGGAGCGCACTGTGGCCAGAAGCCCGCGCCAGAGCGCGCCCGGGGGGCTGCCGCCTCGCCTGCTACCCTGGGCCCTGCGCAGGCGTGGCATGGATTCTGCTCCGAGGGAGCGTGGGCGTCCCGGGCCCGGCAAGTATGCCGACCACTCCCCCAAGCCCCCTGCGGCCGGCGGGCTGAGGCCGCCGTTCGCTCGGGCATGCTGCGAGGCAGCCTTGCCAGAGACGGACTCCCGGGCTGGGAAGCAGGGTCCCCGATGCACAGGCCGCCCCCCGCGCGTGGCCGGCCACTCACGTGGGGCTGCTGCACTGCCGCTCCGCATTCTGCACGCCGCCCCCGCAGGTCCGGGAGCAGCCCGCCCAGGAGCTCCAGGCGGCCCAGCCCCCGTCGACGGGCTCCGGCCGGTGGCCCACGCGGACGCACTCTCCATCGAAGCACCACTGCGGGGCGAAGGACAGCGGGGCTTCAGCCAAAGGGCAGGACCGGGCTGCCTCGGCCGGCCGGGGGGGGGGCAAAGTGCAGCTCTGGGGGCCGCGTCCATGTGTGTCGGGGGGGGCGCTGGTGGCCTTCGCCCCCACTCGCTGGTGCCATGCGAGTGGGGGCCGATCCTGGATTGACGGCTTGCAGCCCAGAGCAGACAGCTGAAGGAGAAGCTGGGAAACGGGGTGATTGCATCTGTTTTGAAATGGCAAATGCGGGCACTCGTGTCTGGGAAGTTCTGATTTTAAACTTGCAGGCAGTGCCTCAAAAGGCACATCTGCTTCGCTGCGACGACCTTGCAGACGAAGTGCAAACATTTTATCTCAAAAGCAGAAAAGCAGGAGGCTCCGAGTTCAAACCTAGAAAATCTGTTCCACACACTTGCTTTCCCCAAGGAGGAGGAGTCAAGGTACCCACTAGGCATTTCTGCCTCCCAGGCCCAACTGGTTTTTTTCCCCAGGAATGCTTTACTGCCACCTCTTTCGGACACACTCCTGTCCCTGTCAGTTGCACTGAGCCAAGAAGCGCAAGAGCCAGTGGGCAGCTGGGCCGATTGGGCTCCATCAGGCACCTTGGCTGCCTCCCCAGGCCTGAGCATTGGACCCCTCCTAATAAAACGGGGCCCAAGGATGCTCTGAATGCCCCCACTAGTGGCGTCTCGCTCACGACAGATGTGAGCGATTTCATCCCCAAAGGATCTTGCAAATCAGACTCAACGCAACGCACACCCTCAACTGCAGGCATGTGACTGGTCTCACTGCAAATGTGCCCATCCTGCTTTTACGAGGGAGTGCCGAGGGATGCCCGGCTTTACCTGCCGCCCTTGAAAAGGTTTCCTGAGGACACCTTGAGAGCCTGTATTTGCAGGCAGAGCCAGCCTGCCTCACAAAGCCCCCCGGGGCGCCCCCAGCACGGCCTGCGGCAGCCACGATTCCTCCAGTGCGAACAGCGAGGCCCCACCTTGTCGTCGTCGCATCTGGTGCCGTCGACGGCCGCGTCCAGCTTGGAGTGGCACGTGTTCCCCACGGAGCACCAGAGCGTGCTGCAGACGTTCTGCAGGAGGGAGGAAAGGCGTGGGCCCCGCGTCCTCGCGAGTCCGCCTGGAGAGCCCCACTGTCCAGCTCCGAGGAGAGCGGGCCACCGCCCCCTCAGGCTGGATGGGGCCCCTGGATTTTGACTCTTCCTGACGGCCGCGCTGTGACCTGAGCCCCAAGAGGCTCGCTGGGGAAGGGAGTCCACCGGTAAAGGCACGGAAAGCACTGGGACTCCTGCGCGGTGAAGGAAACCAGCTCCCTCCACATACACGGCGCTCTGCGGGGGCTGCCAGCGCCCAGACGTGGGGTCAAGGCAGCCTCACGTGCCCTCCCCCTTCCTCCACCCCCTTCCGCATTTCCTCTTCCATTGTGAGGGAGAAACGCTGCCACCTCAGGCTGCCCCTGGCGGTCCGGAAGCAGCCCTCGCCCCAGGGGGCGTACGGTGAGGTGCGGATCCAGAACGCAGGGCCCCCGGGAGAACAGGTGGAGTCAAAGGGATGTGGTTTTCATCAGGACTGGGGAGCGGGGGGAGAGCGGCGCCTTCTGCCTCCCACGGCTCCAACTTTGAAACAAAGGGCTTGCTAAGGGCACGTGGGCGCTTGGGGCTGAACCCGGGCCTTTGAGCGGGCTGCCATTTGGGGGCATTTCCGCCTGCTGCCCCTCAGCATGCCCAGCCCTGTCTGGAGGGCCTTCACCACCCACGGTGCCGTCCACAGGCCACCACGGGGACACCCGCCGCCCATCCTTACGTCCATGTCGTCGCAGTAGGTGGAGTAGGGGCCATACTGGAGACGGCACTGGTGACCAACGTCGTAGAGGACCCCAGGCGGCACGGAGAGGAAGTCGATCATGTCCTTGGCCGGCGGGTCGTCCAGGCAAAGCCCCCAGCCCCGGCTGCAGAGACACAGAGAGGGAAACGGGTGGAGGGCCCTGGAGGAAGGGGAGCCTGTGGGGTGGGGGCGTGTGCCGCACGGCCAGCCCTGTGAGCGCCAGGGCCTGTTGGTGCTCTGCCAGAGACCCCGAGGCAGCTTCATGGAGGAAGGAAGGGGCCCAGGCTCTTCCTCTGGTTAAGGGCATGGGAGGGAGGGAGGGAGGGAGGGAGGGAGGCACACCTGCTGCAGACCCCCCACCATGGAGATCAACAGAGGACCCCCCAGGCCTTTTCTCTGTGCTGGCCAGACGGTCCAGCTCACACGGGACTGCAACAGGCTCTGGCCGTGCTTATTCCAGAGCTGCTGGTCAACCCAGTCACGTTCCTGACCGGAAGCCAGCGCTGCATGGGAGCGGAGAGGAGGAAGCACACCGTGACCCCACAGTGGGGACTGCAGCTGCGGCGGAGCAACTTCCAGGGAGCGAGCTGGCCTGGCAGACGAGGGATGGAGCTGGTCGTCCGGCAACCCGCTGGCCCGCAGGGCTTGCTCCACCCAGGCAGCGCCTCGCCGGGGTCTTGGAGGGCTGCCGGGACACAGGGAGTTGCAACCGGGGGCCCTTCTGCATGCCGAGCTGCTGCTGAGCCCTGAGCTGGACACCCCACCCCCGGAAAAAAAGCAAGGTGCGAACGTTCCTTCGAAAATTCCAAGCAGGAGGAAACCAGAACAGCCTGTTTCCCAACACTGAAAAATCAGTGAGCTTTAAACACTATGAAGGAGAGAGAACTCAGACACAACAAGGGGAACTGCTGTGGTGATTATGATCGTTTTTCTCTAAGAAAGAAGTTTGATTCCTTGCTGGATGTCCAAAATGGGGAAATGCAGTCACGCACAGGGGGTGGGATGTCCGAATTAATGTGCCAGGATTAGGTGGCCAGGATTGGTGCATGCAGGGACAGGCAAGCTAGGAGAGGCACTTTCGGGATCAGGGTTGGAGCGATATCTCACTGCAGGAGCCCTCTGGGGGATCAGGCCTCACAGAAACAGGGTGAGTCAGAAGGGGCCTCCTGGGCCATCTAGTCTGACCCCCGGCTCCAGCCGGCTCCACTCACGACATGCCCACCATGTGCACGTCCAGCCTGTCCCTGAACACCCTCACCGATGGGGCAATGGGGCTGGGGCTGCCCCCACACCGGGCTAGGACTGGGGCTGTTCCAGCTGCAGCATTGCTCCTGCAGACGCAGCCGCTCAAGTGCCACCGTAGCCAAGGACGGGGTGGCGCTCCGTTCCCTCCCCATCTCCCCCGCGGGCCTTCCACAGACTTTAATTTGACCAAACCAAGGCTTCTCTTTTCTGAACTCTCAGGCAAATCTCTGCTTTTTTTGTGGTGAAGTGGGGAGGAAATTTAATGCAGATTCGTGGTCGCATGTTGCTCTGTTAACAATTGCAGAGTTACCAGAGAGCCTGAAAAAGAAAGTCCCGGAAACAGCAAGATAGCAGGATAATAGCTAGTGAGGCCACACCCCGAGCAGCCAAGTTGGCTGCCCCTTCTTTTTTCTGCTCCTGCCGCCTCCCGCTTCTGCTTCTGCGGCTCCTGTGCTACAGTCAGCAGAGGACCTCACTGCCCAATTTCTCCAGAGTCTTATACTTTAAATGCAGTGGTTTGGCTTGCAGCTGTGGCTTCTTCTAATGCTCTGTTCTGATGCTGATGTGTTCCAAATACTTGTAAACTACCCTAGCATCAGTGCTGAAGAGGGCTCATCTACAGATAAAATTATACTGATGCATTTATTTAAAAGCAATGCCCACCTTTTCTTAAGAAATTCAAGATGGCTGGTAACTAAACAAATAAACACCAGAACTAAAAACATAGTTTAAAGTCTCAAAGTGGTAAAGTGAAATGTAAACAATAAAAAAGCGCCAAGAAAGTGCCCTGAAATAGCTGCAAACAGCAAGCAGAGCTCAGCTTGAAAGCTGGCTGCGCATGGGGAGAGTAACAGGGGGCTTTCCCCACAGCTGTGGCATCCGCTGAGTGGCCGCAGGGAGTGCCCGGGGTAGGGCCAGGGAACTTACTCGAGGAAGCGGGTGATGTATTCCCGGCTGCAGTGGGACCAGGTGAGTGGCGACGTGTCATACAGGAGCTGTGGAGACATGATGAAAGGTCTTTTCCCCACTGGCTCACAGTCATTGCCGCTTCCATCATGCTGAATCCCAAAACTGTAAGAGCACACCCCGCAAAGGAGAGGTGAGTCACGCACCTGGACACAACCACAAGGCAGCTTCCGACAGACAGCCCGAGTGTTGGGGCAGACGCCCCGCTTTCCCTCCCCGGCCTCCCCCCACAAGTCCTCAAGACAGAGGCGCAGGCTCCCGGACACAGGGACACCTCTGGAGCTGCGCCCGCTTCGCTTCCTGGCTTTTGTGCCATTCCTCCCCATTCCAAAGAGCTGGCCTGTTTTTTCCCAAGGCCCAGTTACCGGCACTACAGACATCCAGATGAAAATAGCCGGGTGTGTTTGGGCCCTGCTCTTTTTGCCTTGGATTCAGGCGACCCCTGGAAGAGGCTCAGGAGCTCCTCTGAAGCCGAATGTGCCCCTTGAGCAGAGAAGGGCCACCCTCACCCCGAGGGGTGACCGACTGACGGCAGGGCTGCCAAAGGGCCACACCAAACAGGGCACGTCACTAACACAGTGCAGGCGGCGGAGGCGCCGTGGGTGGGGCTCTGCGCTTTCCTCGGCGCTACACCGGCGGCTAGTCCTCATGCTATGCCGAAGGTGACCTGCACCCGCAAACACGCCTTGGAGCCCGCCTCCTGCAAAGGCCGCAGCAGAGAGGGAACGGCGCGCCCGACGGTACCTGTGTCCGAGCTCATGGGCCACCGTGAATGCCAGGGGAAGCCCCGTGTCCTCGTTGATGTTGCAGCTCCGGTGGGGCTGGCACATGCCAGAGACGTGAGACAGGCCCAGCGTCTCGCACGGATGGTTCATGGCTGTGCAGAGGTCCTTCCTTTTCCAGCCGGGGAGGAACACAGCACACACAACAAAGAGGTGGTTACAGGGCCTCGCACATCCCCGACTGGGGTTTGAAACTAAAACAGAGCAGCGGGAAAGCCTCGCCGAAGCGGGGGAGCCAGGCCAGGGCTGGAGGCAAGAGCTCCGTCAGAGCAGCCCCAGAGGCTGCCAGGAGCCAGGTGTGGGGGCTATGCCCTGGTGCGGAGCGCGCCTCCCCAGCGAGCGCTCTGCCGCGAGCCCCGTTCCGGGCGAAGGCGAGGGCGCTTCTCCAGGAGGCCGGCCAAACGCTCTGGAGGCTGCGAGGGCGAGAGGCGGTACCTCGTCAGCAGGACTGCAACGTCGTGGTGCAGCGGGTGAGCATCCCCCTTGATGTTGATGGCCTTCTGCCACTTGCAGAAACTCCTCAGGGTGTTGTCTGCGTGGTGCGTAATCTTCAGATCTTTCTACAGGAACAGAGAGCAGGATTCACTCGGCCACTCTGGCGTGCGCAGGGAGTGTGGTCCTCCCCTCTTGTATTCCTATTAATCTTAGGAAGAGGCACGTGGGACCCTGGATCCGGCCCAGCGTTCCGTCCACCCGGTGGACAGCCAGCTGCCCAAGGGGGGAGCCCTCTCCCCTCCCATCCCCCACCCTGCTTCTGACAGGGGAGGCGACTCACAACCACCAGCAGCCCTCCATCGCCCTATGCGCACGATCACCTTACTGCTTACAAAGCGCCTAAAACTACCGAGCAATAGGATGGCGGTGCAGCTACACTCAGGGTTGCTCTGGCTCGGCAAGCACCCCTCCACCTGCCCCGACGCTCCTGGGCCCTGCAGCTTGCCTCACCATTGCCATGTGGAGGAGCACTGCCCCAAGGGACTTCCTGGGTTACTTGTACACTTGGGCTAGAATTGCAACCCTCCACGCACAACGCCTTCCCACTTGCAGCCCCTGTTCACCAGAGCTGCACTGACACATGCTCAGAGCGATCTAAAAAGTCATCATCAGGACCAACATCGATTAAAAAGATCTTTCATCCTTTCAAAGGCCAGAAGAGGGCATGGGAAAAACAATCCTGAAAGGATCCTTTCAGGATTCCGCAAGACCAGTGCCACAACTTGGCCATAAAACCCAAAAGCTCAAAACAGCGGCATCCAGAAGAGACCTGTGCAAAAGGGGATGCTCCTTGCGGCTCAGGTGGGCTTCTGCGCCATCGCACCTCCCCTTTCGCAGAGGGCTCTAGGCCAGTGGAGAAAGGTCACAAGCCACCGCGACCGCCGCACGGCGAGAATGCATGCAGCCTGAGCGTCATGGCAATGGGACCGAGCACAGAGGGACCGATCCCCACGGAGGCGGCTCCACCTGCACCTCTCGCTCCCTCGGCAGCTTTCCCTCTGTTACCTCTTCCTCTTCCAGGGAGATGAGGCGCACGATAGAAATGTGGATTGGGTTCCCAATGCTTGCATCGTGGAATAAACCAGCCACCTGCATCGTGGAAGAAACAGAACCAGCGGTAGGGGGCTGCTGCTGAGGCGGGGGGGGGGCTGCTCCCACGATCCTGCCAGCGCCCCCAGCACGGGGCTCCTTCCGGCATCCAAGGCGGGGCTTCACATGCCTGGCAGCGCGCAACATTCCTCCGCAGTGCCGGGAGAGCAGGCTGCCGCTGGGGCCGCCGCCGGACACAGCTCCCCACAGCCCAGAGCAGCGCAGGGCCCCCCGGCCCGCCCCAGGCACTCACCATGTTCATGACCGTCAGGACGTACTTCTCCACGTGCTCGCTGCCGTGGTGCTGCACCATCTTGGCGTCCGCCACCACCAGGGTCTCCACCCACTTCTCCTTGCTGACGGAGCGCTGCCTGAGCCGCCGCCGCTTCTGCTGCCTCTCCTCCCACTTTTCCCTCTGCTTCTCCGAGTGCATGAGGCTCCCTTGGCATAGGAGAGGTGAGAGGAGAGGGGCCTCAGCACGCCGGACACCCTGCTGTCCCCCCCCGGGAGCATCGCTGTGCCTTAGGCCAGGTCCACCCATGCCGCCTGGGCTCCTTACTTCCACCCTCCCCACTCAGCATCCCACCTGGCAGGCTGTTGTTTGCGCCCCTGCACAGGGAGTGGCCTGCTTTTCCCAAGGCAGCATCCCAAGGTCATGCTCAGACTCTGAATCCGGTCTGGAGGAAAAGGTGGGCTCAGAACTCTAAGCTGAGAGGTCAAGGCCACCAAGCCCCGCAATGTGAGCAAAGGGATGGCAAGAGCATGACACTCTCTGGTTTTGGGAGAGACTCTGCTGAACCGGTGGAGTCAGAGCAGTTCAACTAGTCCCATCGTCCAACATCAGCTCAAGAGAGCGGGCTGATTGAGCAGCATTCAGAATCCCTGCTGTCTGGCCCACAAGCACCAGGAACCTTCCTGAGGGTGGAGTGAACTCTGGTTGGGATGGGGATCATGTTTGAAATGAACTTCTTGCTGGCATGAGCTGCCACCTCTCTAATAAGCTGGTTTCCAAACTAGCCTGATGTCTTTTGCTAATGACCTCTGTGATCTGGTTTGAGCAAGAATGCGGGGCTTGGGGGGCAACCAGCTCCCAACACCCTTCAGGGCTGACGTCTGGAATGTGTCGCTCTTTGATGTGGCATGAGAGATGCTGCCAACATCTCACATGGACTCACGCGCAAGAAAACAGATGAAAGGAGCAAAACCCTTCCAGGAAAACACGCAGATGGCACTGCCTCGCCACCGCACAGCTGTCAACAATCTGAGCGGCTTCAGGAGCCAAGGGTGCCAGTGAAAAACCTCCCAAACTTCGTTTCAGAAGAGCCTGCTCTTCACGCACAACCAACACTAGCTTTGAAGGGAAAATGCTTCTGGCGAGGGAACTGCTTCCGTTTCTAATCCCAGCTGTGACCTGAAGCAAATTCTGCACTTCGGTTGCTTCCTGGCTCACATTGAATCAGACTCCACTGGGACGTTACCCGGTTTGGTCCAGCAGTTCTTCAGCGGTGACACAGAGCAAAATGACTGGGGCCAGAGGCGATCCAGACGCCACTGCCAGACGGAGAGCAGACTGCCATGACTGTTCCATGGCGTACAAGAACAGCCTCTCTTTTGCCGTCTCAGAACCATGGTCACGGTCAATTATAAGCTGAAAGAGCTTCAGAAAAAGTAATGCCTCTTCAAAAATTCAGAAAATGCTACTCTGAATTGTATCCAAATGTTCAGGAGTTCACCAAAACCAAGAGACTTTGCAACTTTGTTTATGACTCAAGAAGAGGAGCCTTCCTCCCACCCACTCAGCCCAAACTGCAGAGCTTGAAGAATATTTGTTTCAGCCATTTTCACTAAAATTGCTTGAAGCAACTTATAAAACACACTACTAAAGCGTGCTAATATGTTATAAAACAACACAAGTATAAACTGACAGGACTACACATTTGGGTAAGATACAAAAATATAAAAACAGTCAGTCCAGAGATTTAAGGCCTATCGGAGGCATCACTGTTGCCATGAAGGAAACGGCTCCTCTCACTGCTGTGCCCAGCAAGCTGCCTCTGATGCAGGAGGTAATTTTGAGCTGTCAGCACTCAGCAGCCATTCATAGCTTCTCCCACCACGAACTGACCCAATCCTTGTCCAGGTTGGTGGCCGCCACCACACCTTACGGGAGCAAATCCCTGACACGTCTTTCCTTTGCCCAGCCCTGAAGCTCCCACTGTGCAGCCGCACTGGATGTCCCAGGTTCCACTTTTAGGGCCACATCTCAACAAAACTCTGCTAAAGCATCTTTGTCTGCCTATCCATAACAAGTTTCAGTGTTCCTGAACCTGCCAGACACGATCTGCTCCTGGTGTGTCCCCCCTTTCCCCTTCATAGCCAGATGTTTTGGATGAATGCAGAGGGGAAGAGCCCTTTTGGGCTACCCTCCCCTAATGCTGATCTTTCTTCCGAATTCCTGTTGCAAACAGTAGCCACAACCTACTCCCAACCTGCAATGCCAACACATCCCTGGGCAGATTTTGAGAAAGGGAGAACTGAGTTAGGAATGAGAACAGCCAACCGGCCTGGCATCAGCTGCATGAAGACGACCCCCTTCTACTTTTCAAAATATAAACAGCAGCAGAGGTGAGCAAATCTAAGACACTGACAAAAAAGATGGCTTTGCAAATTCAGTTCCCTTTGTCTCTACCAATGGACACATTCAATCCTTCTCAACAAAAGAAGTATGAAACATATTTAAACAAGCTTCATTGCTCTGTCCACTGAGGACAAGACAAGATCTTGTGGCTTCACAACATGGGTAGCAATTGTAAGCTCCTCTCAGCAGAACGGTTCTTCGGGCTACAAATTATCTGAAGGCTAGAAAAAAGTACCTTGCACTCCACACATCCTGGACTGGGTCAGCTGGTTCATCCCTTGCTTTGTGCTCACTACTGAAATAAACTCTTCTGCCTCATACTCTGGAACGTGGCGCCGATAGACCCTGTGGGAGTGGGCTTCCCTCTCCCCTCTCAAACTGCTTGGAGGCAGCGGTTCGATAAAGAAGTCTTCATTGGCCAGCCGGAAGACTCCTCTCTGGGGAGGACAAAAGCTAATGAGTAAGACACGTCACTGCACACCAGTCAAGAATTAGCAAAATTCTTTCCTAAAGGCAAACAAGTAGGTTTTAGCCTATCTGGTCCAAGCTAGGAAACATTAAAGAACAAAGGTGTGGGGAAAAGCAAAGTTGAGCCATGACAGGTGACCTTCATCCCTCCTGGAGAGCCCAGCTGAACTGCCTGCCCTTCGGCACAAGCGGCAATGCTTTCGCTCACAAGTGCTTCTTGAGCTGCCCGAGTGCTTTGCAAGCAAAGGCCCCGAAGCACCATCTGGGTGGGATCACACACTTGGCCAGATCGGGTTCCTGACCCGCAGTTCCACACAAAACCTCCCGGGTCTTCATAGCTACCCAGCTGTCGTACTCCATCTTCTTTAAAAATAAGAAGGGGAGACGCACTTTAGGCCTTATGAGAGCGTAAGAGGCTCAGGGCAAAGGCAAAATGTGCTCATGCATGGTGGGGTCTAAAGTCCTTTCCCCCTTCTCTGGGAAAGATATCTTGGTGGGCAAGAGCAACCTATTGCTGGGGGTTGGATTTTAAGCCTGCTCGGGTCGATGCCCAGGCTGGGCACCCCGGACCGCTACCCAAGCTGCAGGTGGAGATCTGTGCAGTCGTGCCCCAGTTGCTGCGATTAATGGGAGCTGACCGCAAGGGACTTTTATGGAATCAGGTATTACGGGCCCTCGATTGTTTTCCTTCCTGTGAAGACACCCAGGGAAATGAGCAGGATGTGGACTCCGATATGGATCACGGAGCCACATGTGGGTTTCTTGTGAAATCCTCTGCAAAAATTGAGAGTGTGTATTCAGTATCCTTTATTTTTAAAGCACCATCTCTAAAACTTACCAAGGCAGAGTCCAAAAGGCAAAGAGCCATACCATTGCAGTGTGCCAAATGCAGGCAAGAGCCTAACCATGGGGGAAGGCTGAGCGAAGGCCCGCGGCCACTGGGGCAGGTTCCGGGTTTGCAGCGCACTGAGGCCGGGCGCCCAGCCTGCAGACACTTACCAACCCGTCACACGTGCTGAGGGCGGCCAGTCCCATGTCTTGCTCCTGGTTCTGGACGGACCCAATCATGTGGCAGGAGTTCTGGTGGGAAGCCCGGATCTTGGCATGGGCGATGCCCCCGTAGCGTCTCTCGCTCACAAACCCCGGGGCCAGGAGGTGCCTGTTCAGGCTGAGGTTGAATCGCAGCTGCTGCCCCCTGTGGTCCAGTCTGTAGAAAGCCAGCGGGCGGTTCTGGGCGAAAAGGGCCCTCTTGGAGAGCAGCCGGTGGGACAGGTTGTAGGAGAGGAAGGCCCCTCTCTCATCTACCTTGACCGGGTAGACAATGTCATAGCTGGGATCCTGCACAGGGACTGCGCCTACTCCTGCGGGAAACACATCCAAGGGATCATCCGGCTGGAAAGAGAACGCACTCCTTCCTCCCCAGGCGTTCCGCAGCAAACCCACCCCGTTGTTTCTTGCACGCTCCCCGAGGGGCCCTTCCGGAGGCAGGAAAATGCCTCCTGGGGTGGAAAAGTGCCAGTTCTGCTCCTTCTGCTCAGGGGCACAAATGAGCTCACATATCCAGGCCCAGAAGCACGCGCGTTCCAGGGCGAAAACGGAGAGCGATTCCAATAAATACGCCCGCGTTTCCTTGGAGGCTCCGCTTCGAAGAGCGGGCTGGGAAGCAAGGGCAAAACCAGCCCCGACTTGGCGGGCCCTGCTGTGCCAGCAGACCCCGCAGGGCCACGGCTGGGCCGGGCCTCTTCCACACGGGAACGGCCCCTCGCTGGCAGGCCTGGCCGGTGCACACGGGAGCGCCACAGGGGAGGGCCGGGCCGGGCCGGGCTACCCATGGTGAGCCCGTGGCCGTGGCCGTGGCCGGGCAGCCCACCTCACTCGCTCGCTCGCTCGCAGGGCCGCCGGTCAAGCGCGGCCGCGGCCTCCGGGGGGGACTTCGCGGGGCCCGACGGAGGGGCGGCAGGCCGGAGCAGGCCTTCTTGCTCTGCCCACCCGGCGGGAAGCGGCCGGAAGAGCCTTCCCGGAGGCGACGGTGCCGCGCGAGACCCGCCGACCTGGGCGCGAGGAGCAGGCAGCGCCGCCGGGCAGCCGCCGCGACGGCGTCCCGCCAAGCAGCGCCCGGGACAACGCGGGCAAAGCGCGGGCAGGCGAGGGGCGGGGCGGGGCGGGAGGGGGGCTCCTTTGTCTGCCCCGGCGGCCCCCGAGGCGCCCCGGAGCCGCGCGCCCGCAGCGCCCGGCCGCCCCACCCCGGCCGCCCCCGCCCGGCGCCCGGCGGCGCTGCCTGCTCCTCGCGCCCAGGTCGG